TTTACCATACAAATATTTTTCAAACAAAGAAATTATACTAACTGGATATTTTACTATCAATTCTTAAACAAAATAGTCAATATTGATTTTGAATTGAGTTTTAAAGATAAAAAATAGTACAGTTAATTTTAATGCGTATTTCAAAAAAATTCTTTCAAAATCCCTAACATGGGTACCCTTAAAACGGTCCCAGGGCTAAGCTAAGTTATCATGACATTATATAAATATAAAAACATCATTTCGCACCGTATTGTCATTGATTTGTGTTTCCGACATCCCTGCAAAACACGTTTGTGGCGTCCGCAGGCGTGCCAACCCACATCTATTACAAACCGAAACTTTTCCTGACGCAAATTCCTATAAACCATATAGATTTTGCCTTATAGCTTTGTAATTCACTGGACTGCAGCAATCATATTTACCCTGAGTATTCTACACATTGTATATTACCATTAGAATACCTCAAAGTTGATGTGATGGGCTCAGGAAAAAGATTGTGCACTTTTCCTGATGCGAGTTCCTATCAACCATATACATTTTGCCATATAACTTCGTAATTTATAGGACTGCCGCAATCATACTCATACTGATTATTCTATACATTGTATATTAGCATTAGAATACCTCAAAGTTGATGTGATGGGCTTAGGAAAAAGATTGTGCACTTTTCCTGAAGCAAATTCCTATCAACCATATAGATTTTGCCTTATAGCTTCGTAATTCACTGGACTGCCGCAATCATATTTACCCTGAGAATTCTACACGTTGTATATTACCATTAGAATACCTCAAAGTTGATGTGATGGGCTTAGGAACAAGATTGTGCACTTTTCCTGATGCGAGTTCCTATCAACCATATACATTTTGCCATATAACTTCGTAATTCACTGGACTGCCGCAATCATACTCATACTGATTATTCTAAACATTGTATATTACCATTAGAATACCTCAAAAATGATGTGATGGGCTTAGGAAAAAGATTGTGCACTTTTCCTGACGCAAATTCCTATCAACCATATAGATTTTGCCTTATAGCTTCGTAATTCACTGGACTGCCGCAATCATACTCATACTGATTATTCTATACATTGTATATTAGCATTAGAATACCTCAAAGTTGATGTGATGGGCTTAGGAACATGATTGTACACTTTTCCTGATGCGAGTTCCTATCAACCATATACATTTTGCCATATAACTTCGTAATACACTGGACTGCCGCAATCATACTCATACTGATTATTCTAAACATTGTATATTACCATTAGAATACCTCAAAATTGATGTGATGGGCTTAGGAAAAAGATTGTGCACTTTTCCTGACGCAAATTCCTATCAACCATATAGATTTTGCCTTATAGCTTCGTAATTCACTGGACTGCCGCAATCATACTCATACTGATTATTCTATACATTGTATATTAGCATTAGAATACCTCAAAGTTGATGTGATGGGCTTAGGAACAAGATTGTGCACTTTTCCTGATGCGAGTTCCTATCAACCATATACATTTTGCCATATAACTTCGTAATTCACTGGACTGCCGCAATCATACTCATACTGATTATTCTAAACATTGTATATTACCATTAGAATACCTCAAAGGTGATGTGATGGGCTTAGGAAAAAGATTGTGCACTTTTCCTGACGCAAATTCTTATCAACCATTTAGATTTTGCCTTATAGCTTCGTAATTCACTGGACTGCCTCAATCATATTTATACTGAGTATTCTACATATTGTATATTACCATTAGAATACATCAAAGTTGATGTGATGGGCTTAGGAAAATGATTGTGCACTTTTCCTGATGCGAGTTACTATCAACCATATACATTTTGCCATATAGCTTCGTAATTCACTGGACTGCCTCAATCATATGTATACTGAGTATTCTACACATTGTATATTACCATTAGAATACATCAAAGTTGATGTGATGGACTAAGGAAAAAGATTGTGCACTTTTTCCTGATGCGAGTTCCTATCAACCATATAGATTTTGCCTTATAGCTTCGTAATTCACTGGACTGCCTCAATCATATTTATACTGAGTATTCTACACATTGTATATTACCATTAGAATACATCAAAGTTGATGTGATGGACTAAGGAAAAGGATTGTGCACTTTTCCTGATGCGAGTTCCCATCAACCATATAGATTTTGCCTTATAGCTTCGTTATTCACTGGACTGCCGCAATCATACTCATACTGATTATTCTATACATTGTAGGCTATATCAGCATTAGAATACCTCAAAGTTGATGTGATGGGCTTAGGAAAAAGATTGTGCACTTTTCCTGACGCAAATTCTTATCAACCATATAGATTTTGCCTTATAGCTTCGTAATTCACTGGACTGCCTCAATCATATTTATACTGAGTATTCTACACATTGTATATTACCATTAGAATACATCAAAGTTGATGTGATGGACTAAGAAAAAAGATTGTGCACTTTTTCCTGATGCGAGTTCCTATCAACCATATAGATTTTGCCTTATAGCTTCGTAATTCACTGGACTGCCTCAATCATATTTATACTGAGTATTCTACACATTGTACATTACCATTAGAATACCTCAAAGTTGATGTGATGGGCTTAGGAAAAAAATTGTGCACTTTTTCCTGATACGAGTTACTATCAACCATATAGATTTTGCCTTATAGCTTCGTAATTCACTGGACTGCCGCAATCATACTTATACTGATTATTCTATACATTGTATATTAGCATTAGAATACCTCAAAGTTGATGTGATGGGCTTAGGAACAAGATTGTGCACTTTTCCTGATGCGAGTTCCTATCAACCATATACATTTTGCCATATAACTTCGTAATTCACTGGATTGCCGCAATCATACTCATACTGATTATTCTAAACATTGTATATTACCATTAGAATACCTCAAAGGTGATGTGATGGGCTTAGGAAAAAGATTGTGCACTTTTCCTGACGCAAATTCTTATCAACCATATAGATTTTGCCTTATAGCTTCGTAATTCACTGGACTGCCTCAATCATATTTATACTGAGTATTCTACACATTGTATATTACCATTAGAATACATCAAAGTTGATGTGATGGACTAAGGAAAAAGATTGTGCACTTTTCCTGATGCGAGTTCCCATCAACTATATAGATTTTGCCTTATAGCTTCGTTATTCACTGGACTGCCGCAATCATACTCATACTGATTATTCTATACATTGTATATTAGCATTAGAATACCTCAAAGTTGATGTGATGGGCTTAGGAAAAAGATTGTGCACTTTTCCTGACGCAAATTCTTATCAACCATATAGATTTTGCCTTATAGCTTCGTAATTCACTGGACTGCCTCAATCATATTTATACTGAGTATTCTACACATTGTATATTACCATTAGAATACATCAAAGTTGATGTGATGGACTAAGGAAAAAGATTGTGCACTTTTTCCTGATGCGAGTTCCTATCAACCATATAGATTTTGCCTTATAGCTTCGTAATTCACTGGACTGCCTCAATCATATTTATACTGAGTATTCTACACATTGTACATTACCATTAGAATACCTCAAAGTTGATGTGATGGGCTTAGGAAAAAGATTGTGCACTTTTTTCTGATACGAGTTACTATCAACCATATAGATTTTGCCTTATAGCTTCGTAATTCACTGGACTGCCTCAATCATATTTATACTGAGTATTCTACACATTGTGTATTACCATTAGAATAGCTCAAAGTTGATGTGATGGGCTTGGGAAAAAGATTATGCACTTTTTATGTTCGGAGTTTTAATTGTTCGCGTTATGTTAAGCCTTAGCTACGTATAATGTACAGTACGGTCTCAAATATGCCTTTTAAAATACGTCAAATAATTAGTTTTAACTTGTATACACGTTTTATCAATGTATTATTGACATTATATAAATATAAAAACATCATTTCGCATCGTATTGTCATTGATTTGTGTTTCCGACATCCCTGCAAAACACGTTTGTGGCGTCCGCAGGCGTACCAACCCACATCTATTACAAACCGAAAAAGCGCCGATGAAAAGAGCCGCTAACTTCACGACGGTACAATTGCATTGGGTCATTGGGTGTGAATCGAAATCTTGAATCTTGGGATTATTCGATTAATAAGTAAACAAAGTGCAGGTCTCCACGGCAACGAAACCAAAGAGTATAAAGATAGTGCTTACCATGCTTACAATAAGATAAATAACATTGTAATAAATAAATAATGATATATATATATATATAAATTCAAATTTATTTAAAAAATTGAAATCTTACTTACTACACATTGTAGTCTGCTGTAGAACAAAGAATAATATTACATTAAATTTTGCAAGTTTGTTTAAACCTAATTATGATAATTGTTATATAGGTGGTTTCTTATAATATTAATAGGAAATTGTATGACTGTTAAAGATATTAAATATAGCACTTGATTTTCCAAATTGAATTTCTTCCAAAATTTCTCGACTTGATGAGGAATTGTTCCTCTTGATCCAATGAGTAGTCCATAAAGTAACATGCACTAGGGGGGTAAGAACATATTTTCCTTCCACCAATTGTGCTCAATTAATTCTGTGGTGAAACATACGTAAAAAAGGCTTTAGATTTTATTTTAGTATGAAAAGTCAATGCCTAGGATATTGTTACGATGACCTATGGTACTTATTTATTATGCTTGAGCTTCATCTTCATAATCTATGAAAGAAGTCTCCTATAACCAACGATATCAACAGATAAAATACTATATAAATAGGTGTCTATTTACTCTATGCTCTCATTGAATATTGTTGCTATGGCAACAAAGACCTCAAACAAAACAAAAACAGTGCAGACAAAAGCATCACAGTATTTTCGTATTATTTACAGTTTCAATTTTTGTTGATAAAAATAAAGGATACAGTAATTTTGGTATTTTTATTTTAAACCATAATAAAAACAATGCAACGATAATAGGTAATGGTGGTGCTATTCGTCAAAGAAGATCCAGGCAACAGTAAATCAAAAAAGTTCGAATAAATCTATATTTCATACAAATTAACCCTAGATGAGGTGATATAATTTTAAAAGTGATTGCAGGTGTTTAAGAAATTATTAAAAATGACTTATACAGAATTGAAAATAATCTCAGTGTATTTTGTGCTGTCAACATTAAATTTATTTTTAACAGTAGAAACATACTCCAGTGAATTAATACAATTTCCAAATAATTCTTTTTGCAATAAGAGTGATTACTTTTCAGTCAACAATTTGAAATGTGTGCACTGTGGTTCCACCAAGAATTTAGTTCCGGCTACAAACAGTAAGTTAATGAATTAGTTTTATTTACTTTTAGATCTTGCTAGTTTTCACTGAATTGCTTAAAAAAAGGATTAATTAAGTTATATTTTGGCATTATTTAATAAATGTACCCAGATAGCAATTTTTTCCTGATTCAGTATTAAATCAAGGTTAAACTTTCAAAGATGCAAGCCTGAATTAATCTTAAAATATCAAGCCATCAAGCCTAATTCAGGGCTAATTCAAGGGTCCTACTGAACACTTGTGAAACCTGAATCAACCCTGAAAATTTTAGGTTGATTCAAGGTAAACGTTTCTGGCAGTAATGCATAATCAAGGCTGAATTGAGGTTGAATTAAGGTATAAGTATGTTTAAATTAAGGTAAAATCATGGTCAATTCAGGACTCATAACCTGAAAATTTAAGGTTAATTCAAGGTAAAGATTTTTGGCTGAAATCAAAATATATTGTTGAATTCGGGTTAAATAAAAGCATAATCATGATCAACTCAGTACATACAGTAACAAGTGATTGACTGACAAGGAATTTTACTTGACTTACGGCATTCTTACGGTCTTAAAGTAGTCCAATATTTTAATGTCCTAGTGGATAGACTAGCTGTTTTGTCTTTGTGAACTCAAGAACTTTAATGATGCCTACTAAGCGCGGGGACAGCTATCTATTTGGACATCAAAATATTGGTTGCTTTATGGCAGTAAGTTAAGCCTTAAAATATTAAACGCAAGGTACATTACCTTAAGCTTTAATCTACGCAGAAAACTTTGGGTGGATACATAATTTGACCTTATAATCTATATTATAATACAGTTACCACTCACTCACTCATTGATCACTATTCCTCAAAAACTACCATGCATATGTACTCAGAACTTGGTGGCATGGAGGTTTCACTTAACCTCCATAATAGGTTTCACTTAATATGTACAAGAAGTAGCTTTGAGAGATTCCATCAGGGCTCTGGCTCACTGGCTTTAAAATTACAATGTTAACATATTTTTCTTTTGACAGAACTTTCGTTTAATTGTATTAGCTACCAAACCGCTGTTAGGAAAATTCTAAGCAAAACCAATGCAAAACAACTGTTTGTAGCAAAGAAAATTTTTCAATTCTGTTGTGAAGCCCAAGGGGAGGGGCAGCTAGAAACCTATAAATGATGCTATAACACTTTATTTAAATGTTGTATAGGATAACTGAATTAGGTTAAAAATAATAAGCCTATTCTGCCAAGCTTGTGAGTGAAGGGTGAGAGCATTTAATTTTTAATAAGGCCTCATCAAATTACACCAGACCCTGCTTTAGAAAAGACATCTCAGTGATCAACAAAAAGTTTAAAAGTTCAAAACAGTTCTTCAAACATAGCCAAAATATCACTATTTGTGGGGGTATGAATAAAATGTAGCAAGTGACATTGGTTATAGTAAATTTATTTTATGAAAATATAAAGTATAAAACAAACTTGAAAATTAGAACATGAGTTAAATTAAGTGACATTTTACTTATACATTATTTACTGTCGCATAACCTCAGCCTGATGTTCCTATTCTGTGCACCAATAACTCCTCTTTTCCTGCAACAAAAAAAATCATAAAGTATCGACTAAGGGAGTATGTTTTATCTATTTTTTTTTTATTTTTTCTGTACATGTAATCTGCTTGAGTTAAAAATTTCAGCATGGTTTTCCAGTTCACTAAGTAATTTTTTACTTGAATTGTTTTGACTGTGATTAAAGCTGAAACTGTGAGCAAACATTTATTAATATAGTTATTTGTGTGACAAAACGGCACGGAGACGGCTGGACACTAAATCAAGTAAATAGGGGGCCCGGGATCGCTGAGCCCAGGGGCCCATGATGGCTCTCTCCGGCCCTGATTATCATTGACATTATCAATAGTCTAAAAAATTGGGGAGCGAGCAGGTCTAGTGGTTAGAGCGCGGTCATTCCGGTTCCTGGGGTCCAGGGTTCAAATCCCGCCAAATCACCAATGGATTTTAACTAAGTGATAATGCCGTAACCCCTAGGTCTAGCCTGAAGTAATGTGAAAAACAATCCCGGGCTCCAGCCTAGCGTACGGGGACAAAAAGTCTAAAAAATTGTTGAAACACACAGCGAAATGTAGGTACATGTCAGCTACAGAGCTGCAAATTGTGTCATTCTGTTCACAAATGATACCAGCAAGTGGCGAGGAGCCTTGCTGCAGCGTACTTAAGCGAATTATGGATTTATACGCAGAAACTGGCTCTTACTTGAAAAACCACCCTTGTATGTTCCTTATACTAATAAACCAAATTAACAAACCCGAGACTTGTTATTAGAATTCTAAAACCCGTTGTTGCAACAGTTTAAACGAGTAGGTAGTTTTATCGAATTGGCCAGGGTAGAGTACTCGTCTGTCCTACAGTTATTCTAAAAGTTAGGCAAAATTTGCAATAACATTTTAACAAAGGCGAGGATGATATTGCTCTCCTCCTGGGCGTCTGCAGGATCTTTTGAGCGCTTCTAGAGCTCTGAACCTTAGATTAAATTAAAATAATTAATCAGTCAAAACCGTGAATCCTTCTCAGCACCCCGGGGAAGAAATTTGAGCGTGGCTGGTACTAGGGGTAGGCTGCTCAGTAAATACAATCTTATTCGCCCCTCATAATTTACGTCACATGCTTTTTACACTTTGGATCTTAGAAAAAATGTAAGTTAATGGGATATTTTAAGTAGGCTACCTATTGAGTTTTTCCATGCACGAAAACACTAAGAATGCTCTAGTTTTTAACCTTGGTGAACCCGTCATCGGCCACTGATGACCAGGTATGACTGAGGTCTTGTCATCACGGCCTGTGTCGAACTACAGGGAGTGTCGAACTATCGAGGTTCTACTGTAACAACAAAAGTAAACATTATGAAATAAACAGTTCTATAACTAATATGCTCTACAAACCTTTTAGGTACTGGCCCTAAATTTGGCTTGTCACAGCCATGCACGGATGCAGTTTTTTTTTACTTTCAATTCAGTGGCTTCAGCCAACAGTCTCTTGGCTACAACTGAAACAGTTTAAGTGAAACGCCTCATAATAGATAACAATAACAAAAGAATTTGTTATGCAAATCTATATAAAGCTCAAATACCACTGACTCATTCATTCACTCACTCATCACGAAATCTCAGAAACCATAAGACCTAGGAACCTGAATCTTGGCAGGCATCATCCTTTTGGGTAGTAGACGATCACTAAGAAAGGATTTTACCCTCCGACCTCTGGGCTCCGCCCCAGTGGCTCTGGAGTTTCCCATGTTAACCTTATGAGAAATGGAATTAATGAATCTTAACAGCTGTTTCAATTAAACAAGTTGGTTCTGTTCTATGATGTTTAATAGCATTAAAGTTACAAGGATTACCAACAGGGTGCAGCACTATTATTTCTTTTACATTTATGACAACAGCTAATTTGCAACCAAAAGGTGAGTGAGCGTAGCGAACGAACTTCAACCTCGAGGCGAGTTAGCGTAGCGAACGAGCTAACCTGAAGGCAAGTGAGCGCAGCGAACGAGCTCTAACCTAAAGGTGAGTGAGCGTAGCGAACGAGCTCCAATCTAAAGGTGAGTGAGCGTAGCGAACAAACTTCAACCAGGACGTGATTGAGCCATGCGAACGAGATCATCTTGAAAATTAAGAAGTTAAACGGGGCAAAGCCCGCGGGTTACAGCTAGTATTGGAAGAAAAATACAAAACAATCAGCTTAGAGAGAATATGCCATGTATTTGTATTAACAAACTAGCTTTGACAATCTCACTTCTGTAGTAAAGTACAGAATAGACATAATTGGTCAGTGTGTGTTTTCAGGGGTGTACAGTGGGATTTACCAAATGAATCAAGTACAAAAAATTTAGTTTAGACTCGTTCAATGGTCTTGCCTCTCTGTTCAACCTGAAATTCTGGCTAAATTAAGCAAGATGGAAAAAGAAGTAAACCATAAGTCTGGCATTATTTTTTTTTTAAACAACTTTCTTCCAAGTGAATTTTTGTTTGACCAACAAACGAAAGTTTTAGTAAGTTTAACCTACTAACTTTCTTACTCTAAGGTTTTAATAATATTAAGTTATGATTTAGGCTATTAATATTTTTTGTTTTAAATTAGCTACAAATCATCAATAAAATTTAAAAACTATAGGCCTACAAATGGTAAGGTTTATTTAAAGCAGAAAATTTCAGAATTTTTCCAAAATTGTTAATACCGGTACCGTAAGTTAAATTGCAGCACACAGACCAAGTTATTCATAATAATGTCTAAATTACAGTTCTAAATTCTGCAAATTTCGATGCAAAGCAAGATGGCAACTCATCTTGTAACGTTTGTTCAAACGGCAAGCCACTTGTTTTAAATCTGTGTTAGCTGAAGCTAATTAGTTAATTTGAAAAATAACACAGCAGCCTAGGTAACCTTGTTACAATAACTTTACAACTTACAGCATGGGCAATATACATCTTTAGTAACTTAAATAGGCACAAGTTACCAGGATATGATTTAAAGTTAACAGCTACATAAAACCAAAATGGCAGGTCTCCAGTCAAGTGACATTTTGTAGAAGGTTGTTTTAAATTAGTTCATTACGGTAGCCTACCTTTACTTAGTTTAATCAATGGCGTACAAAACTTAAAATCTTTGAGAGATGCTAATCTTAACCCATCTAAACGTTTGCCGAAAAACCCTAGCATCAGGACATGGGACTAGGATAAGCCCTTAGACCTAGGCTACAGTACCAAGTCTATAACTTAAGACATAGGCCTAAGCTAAATTAAAATATTTTTCTATAGGCCTAGGTCTATTTATCCAATCCATCGAAAATCATTTCTTCATTCTTAAATGAAACTTCATAACTTCGGCCTATGATAACTTATGACAATCTACGCTGATAAAAAACTGCATCATTAAGTTACATATTGGCTTGTGTGTTCATAATATTGTAGCCCACCGGATTTGGCAAAAATAAGTAACTAGGTCTTGAACAATTCCAGATACAATATTCCAACGGATCACAATACTTTCTAGGCCAACTATAAAACAATTCACCAGTCATGAGGCCTAGGGCAAGCACAGGCCTAGAATTATTCTGGATCCTAGTCCAAATTTGGCAGTTTATTGTTGTAAGATAATTTTCAGAGCATTTGTAACTTGAGGTTCTAATGTCAGTATGATTAGCATTCTAACACACATATCTTATCATAAGAATGGAAAAAATATTATGAATACAATGAAAAGATTAGCTGACTCACCTTTATGTTTCGTTGGCTCACAAGCACTTTTGTTGCAGTTAGTCTTCTAAAATCGAACACTATGGAATTAACTATGAACAAAGAAATTGAAAATTGACAAAAACTAACTTCAATATGAATACTTTATGTCTAAAAACTCTGATATAGTAATAACGCGAGAAACAAACGTCGCAAAAAGACAAACTGACAAGACACACAAAGACAAAGAGGTTAGGATTGTTTAGGGGTGGATCCTGCGGTGGGGCACACGGGAGGGACTAAGGCTAACATATCTTGTAGTGTCTGCGTTCGCCACTAGGACTGCTAAGTTGAAAAAATTTAAATTAATTTTTAATTTTTTATTTTTTGTTATAAAATTAACTTTTTTATTATAAAATATTGTTTTAAAATTATAAAATTAATTTTTAATTTTTAAAATTAAACTGTCATAACATAACCTAACCAACCAGACTTGCTGATAATATAAAAACTATATAAGATAAAAATCTAATTAATGATTACTTATAATTTTTAATTAATTATAAAATTAATTTTAAAATTTAGTATTATAAAATTAAACTGTCATAACCTAACCTAACCAACCAAACTTGCTGATATGAAAAATTTGTTGACAAAAAGTTAGTGCTGTCAGTGGGTTTCGAACCCCGGACCTCCTGAACACCAATCTGAAACGCTACCAACTATGCCACGAACGCCGCTGAAATCACTTCGTTTCGTTACGGTAATCGTGTCGCCTCAAGAGAAGACATTAACCACTAGAGATATGACGTCACTACACCTTTAGCCTTAGTCCCTTCCGTGTGCCCATTCCGTGGATCCTGGCGTCTGGCTGGCGTCGCTTGGTCGAACTGCATCATGGGAATTCGCGCTGTTGTTTTGTTGACTCTGTTTCAGGGCGGAATCTATGAACTCAAAAAGGGCAGTATTTTGTTGTCCTTGAATCCAGCCACAATGTTCCTAATATTTGCAACCTTGAATTGTGAATGCAAATTGTAGGGAAAAGTTTACCTTGAATCAAGGGTCCTTGCTATCTGGGTAGGTAGGCTTAGGGTAAATTAATTAGGCCTACAGTACTTAGAGAGAGAGAGAGAGATCTTTATTTACAAATCGTTAAGATTGAAAATTGCCTCAATTATATTACAGTATTACAGAAACTTCTTTCGAGAGTGTCTTTCAGAATAATATATCTACAAAGCTCACCAGTCCAAGAACTCTCCAATGCCGTAGAAAGGATGGTGGAGCAGCCAATCCCGGAGTACTGTCTTCAGCTTCTCAGGACTGGAACTCTTGATTTCAGCTGGCAGATGGTCGAAAAATTTGGCTCAGATGTAAGAAGGCTTACCCTCACATCTTCTACTGTGGTGTGTAGGTAGATTAAAATTACAGGCATGCTGGGTAAAGTGCTGGTGAACATTATTATAATTCCGTGGTAATCTTGATTTGCAGGCCATGATGACAACTTACAAGTATGTAAGTATTTAATTAGTGTTAATATCTTTAGGTCTACAAAAGCTGGTCTGCAACTCGCCCTCCATTCTAAGTCCGCCATAATACGAACAGCCTCTTTCTGCATAACTAACACACGTTGCAGGTTTTTCCCAGCAGTGGCGCCCCAAATAGCTATTCCATATTTAATGTGGCTGTCCAGTAAAGGAAAATAGGCGGTTTTTACTGCATCATATGAGGTAATAGCTTTAATGCGTCTTAAAGCATATATACTGCTGCTTAATTTCTGACAGAAGCTGTCGATGTGCTCGTCCCATCTGAGATTGGTGTCTAATACTATTCCAATGTGTTTATAACGGATTCAACAGATGAAATGTTTGGAAGTTCTGATATTTTTTCTTTTTCCTTTCCCATGTTGAGCTGCCTAGTTTTAGTCTCGTTGAATACGAGATCATTTCCAGAGCAGTATATTCAATAGCTAGTTCCAAGGAGATGAACGAAGCTACCTCAAGATCTTCTATACTGTGACTGGAAGATAATAAAACAGTATCGTCAGCATACATTATTGCTCTTCCGAAGTTCTCTGTATGTAAAGGAAGGTCAAGCGTGAACAGTGTGAAAAGGACAGGTCCCAAAACTGAGCCCTGTGGCACACAGATGGCGAGCAAAGACGATCTGGAGTAGGATAGCTTTCCATTGGTCTTTTGCCTAACTTCAACAAGCTGCTCACATCCTCTCAGATAACTTGCGAACCAAGATAATGTCCTATCCTGAAATCCTAGTCTTTCCAATTTTTTAAGAATGAGATCATGGCTGAGGCAATCGAAGGCTTTGCTTAGATCAAGAAATATTCCAACATTCCTTTACCACTCCCAAGCCGATCAAGACTATCCTCCTTACCATTCATTTCAAGAACGTTATATATTTTCCAATTGAATGTATTTTCCAGTCTCATTCAATATTGTCACATGTTATGCATAACAAACTTCACCACAGATGTTAAGTTCGCCTAGTACCTACTGTAATAAATAGTTTTTTTTTTTCTAGGACGCTAGGCACGAGCCCGGAATTATTTTTCACATTACTTCAGGCTAGATCTAAGGGGTTACGGCATTATCACTTAGATAAAATCCATTGTTGATTTGGCAGGATTCGAACCCGGGGCCCCAGGAACCGGAGTCCCACGCTCTAACCACTAGAGCTCGCTCCCCAATAAATAATATTAGGCCTATTAATATTATGATTGTCCTCTTTTTAGAATTAGCTTGTGTATGCAACAGCTTGAGCTATCAAGTGAAATGGGGCAAAGAAGATTATCCTAACTGTATCCCATGTGGAGCTGATAAAGTAGCAACAAAAGATGGGAGATTTTGCATATCTTGTTCCAGTGAAACTTTAAACTCAACAATAAAAAATGCATTAAACGCCTCAGGCTGTGCCAACTGTTCTTCTGATGAGATTTTAGGTATGTTTGTGAAGCTGTTCTTATTTTAAGTAGTTATGGTCTAAAGGGAGAAATTGTTATCTCTTTTGGTTTTAATGTTTCAACCTTTTGGAAAATATTAAATAAAATTCTGTATTAACATTAAAGATTGCAAACTATAAAATCTATGTGAGTCAATACACAAATACCCCCGCCGCAGCAAACCTGCAGACTAAGCGAATTTAAACTTGGCTGATTACATTTTTATTAAAATATTTCCATAAATAAGACATATTTATTCCCTATTTAAATAACATTAGATTTAACGACTGCTTAGGTATGCTGATACGGGGAAGGTAAAAAGTGTTTTTTGATCATGTACGTCAAATAAATTTGGCAAATTTTATCGACATAGGCTAAACAAGTAAACTACAACAGTTTTCATTTTCTCCATAAGAATAACATGGAAATTTTAAATTACTCTTTTTTATTTTCTCCGCAACTGTTAGGCATACAACAGCGCCTCACTAGCCTATACTAAATTATTTTTTTTAAGCTCTACATAATGGTTTAGAAAGAAATTGAGTTTTTTTTTTGTTTTTAGGGTCAAAATGGGAAAACCCCATTTTTACCCCATAAAACCCCCAATAAACCCCCGTTCCTCTCATTGCTAATTCATAAATTGGTCCAGATGGTTACTGGATATTTCAATACCGTAGCCCTTCATCAAATAAATAGATCCCATTCTTCTATTACCAAATGATGGCCTAATCCTCTCAAATACTTGTGTAACACTATGTATAGTACACATTCCAATCATACAGCACATTCCTTTTTTTCTAAAAAATCTTTAATTATAATAGAGTACCAAAGTAGCGGTACCTCTGCAAAATTATAGCTGCTTTTAGTGTTTTAGCTTAGATTCTTTGTTCTATTATCAATAGCCTATTTATTGTTCATTTTTTTAGTAGGTACCATGTTTGAAATAGATAGTTATTAAGAGAGATAGGCTAGTTATAACATTACCTTTGGCTAAGCTTAATCCAAGTCAAGCTGTAATAAGTCTTTGTTTTTTGCAGTTGAGCGAGACACTAACGGCACTTTGCTGCCGCAGCAGAGATGTGTCAGATGTGTTCAGGGTACCCGACCGTCAGCTGACGGAACTGTTTGTACACCTTGCTTCACATTAAACATCAGCGGTAATGGCTCATGCAGGTTAGGATTGAATAATTTTACATCAAATTTTAATACCATCATACTGGGTAAATGTGAGTGAACGTGAGCGCAACAATGGGCGAGTCCATCCGCACTTACCGGGGTCACTGCTTGGTGAACACAATGTTATTTGTAGGCTATGGGCAAATCCACAAACTCTCACTTAATAACAATCATAACTTCTCGTAACTGATGTCATTGGTAAAATTTGAGGTCGATTTCCAACAATTATCGATAGGTGGTAAATCCATCGTTCCTGTTCAAAATGTCTTTTGTAAATTCATCTCTTTAAACTTATACACAATAGTTTAAGTGATCAATGTTTGTTTTAGAAATGTTTCCTTATTTGTTATAAGGCCTGTCAAAAAAAACAAAACGAAGCCAAACTGAACTAATCTAACTTAACCTAATTGCCGCAATACAGTGTAAAAGAGGCAGCTTCCTTAATCACTTCCTACATCGTGAACCTGTTTCCCTCCCTTCCCATAGCAATTTTTACTCAAATACGTCAATTTTTATATACATTACTCTAACTACCACAAACTGTTCCCACAATCAGAACTTCTCCCCTTTACCACTTCCTACAGCGCGGACCAGTTTCCCTCCCTTCCCATAGCATTTTAGTATTGCAGATACATTAATCTAACTGCCACATATGGTTCCCACACTCCACTGCTCGCCTTGACTAATTCCTTCACCACTTACTACGTCATGGACCTGTTTCCCTCCCTTTCCATAGCATTTTAGTATTGCAGATACATTAATCTAACTGTCACAAAGGGTTCCCACACTCTGCACTGCTCACCTTTACCATTTCATTAACCACTTCCTATGACGTGGACCTGTTTCCCTCCCTTGCCCCATAGCATTTTAGTATAAAAATAGATTAATATAATACTGTAACATGAAATTTAACAATGTAAAAATCTGCTCAGTAAATATATACATACACATTTGTGATGTAAAGGTGAGTTTTGATACTGTTCAAAATCTGTATATAACTGCCGACTAATTTTGTGAAGTTCAATTTATAATTCTGGTAGTTGTAGAATTATAAAGGCATATATTCATAGATGTCAAACTGTTTACCATGAATGAAAATGTTTTGAGAAAAAGTCGTCCTCTTTGTCTAAAGTAGACAACAAAATTGTTGGTCGCAAAATGTAAATAAATAAAAAGAAGAATAAGGTAGCTTCTAATGTTATTCTTAGTCAGATTTAAAAATGTATTTTTTCTGGTTTTGTAAATACAACGGAGCGGAATCGTCTAGAATTCTAATGGTGTATTCCCAGTGGTGTCATAATTATCTGTGTAAAATTTGAACACTATTTGTGCAACGGTTATTCAGTTTTTTACCCTAACACACAGAAACACAGACAAGCGGACAACTAATCTCCGTCCCCGCTATACACGATACATAGATTCGTTCACTTTGTTCACTCATTTATTATGGTACAGAATATGTTTTGCCACAAAACACTAAACTACATTTGATCAAATTACTTGTACTGTAGGGCAGTACAGTTAAACAAAAATATTTAAGTATAAGTATATACTAATGTCTTCTTCCCCAGCTGTCCGTCAGGCACTCATGAACAGCTGAGTCGGGATGTGTGTGTACCTCACAGTGAGTTGACCAACTGGCCGGACGACTCTGCGACTTACACCATCGACTATCCGCTCTCCGGCAAGTCAGTCCAGTCTGCTCATCTCAAAACTCATCTGCGAAGGGACATTTACCTTTGCAAGGTAGGCTACTATTTAGATAGTCATAAACTAATTAAGTATAACTAGCTTTGAATTTGTGAGACAGTAGGTAAAAAATCTACCAAAGGAGTAAACAATTCACTACCTTGAATATGACAGAGTCTGTAGCACTAGTACTCCTCGCCAGTAGTGACGAAAAGTTTAACTACTCAAGCACAGCGTTCTAATATTGCACCACTTAAATGCAGAGTAACCAGTTGATTTTTATACCTTTAAATTTAGAAGCATTTGGACAAAAGAGTCCTTAGTTTTTACAATATTTCAAAAGTTCCTTGTACCAACAATTATTAAAAATGAAATTATTTACTTGGATGGTAAAATTTTAGCTGTTCGGGATTCAAAAATATATTGTAATTTTGATAGAAGACTTTTTAAAATACCTTTTCGTTTAATGTTATAAATCAGGGGATAAAATTCCAAAAAGCTTTTGTGGACTACTGAGCTATCTTTATAAGCCTTAAAGAACATAGTTTTAGCATTGAATTTTGGATACTGAAGTTGACTTTTGTCTACACATAGATAGTCAACAGTTTTTGGTATGGATTTAATCCTTGGCTATTGATATAGTAGAACTAGACATTCCATCCCCTTGTTAAAGTTTTCTTCAGTTTTTAAATAGGAGGTAGGTTCTTCGGTTTTTTTTGGAGGTAGTTAATTTAGCCACCGACAGAAAGCACTGAGGTAAATTACTGATTCATGTTGAATACGTCAAACTGATTGGACACCTTGTTGTAAGCTATAGTATATTTCATGTCACATAAACTATCTCATATAGACAGAATGTTTGCTGCAGTATTCAAAAGTCAATGATTTAATGAAAGCTAGGACAAGTGTCTGATTGTACAGAGCCAGAGACGCAGCTCTGCATGCCAGTCTGTAGCCAACATGTGTGTGTTGACTCACTACAGGGACGGTCCTGTTTGTAGTCTGTTCAGAGACTTCAAACACATCCCCAGCTCAGACAAAGAGCCTTACCCTTGGCTGTACTATGGGGATGGCGACGCCCCTACTGTGCTGAACAGACGCAAAATATCCACCAGATATAGTCTCCATCCGTATTCTGAGGTAATTAAACTGTATATTACATTGGTGTAATTATATAGTTGTTGAGTTGACAATAAAAACAGATGTTATGACATTGTTAATAGTTTGTATTGAAATGAAAAGAGCTTTATTCACGAGACTACGTTTTCTAAATCTTGTAAATCCCTTCTTCCTGAAAGAATGGGAATAAAACTTGAAATGAACAATTTCTTCGATATCCCGCCATTTTGTCCTAATGTGTCAGAATTCTCAAGTTAGGACTGTTGAGTTTTAGGTTTGTAGAGTGTTCAGTGTGTCTAATCATAGACTAAGCAACACAAGGGGAGTGTTCGGTACTTATTAAAAGTCCCTAGATTGGTGCTACCCTAACCTTGCCCAACGTTATCTACGGCGAATCGTCCCCACTCCGACTACTGGAAACGCTACTCACTAGCATTGCCGACGGCGTCATGGGCAGACGTCCGTACCTACCTACATAATTTTACATAGACTCTTTCATTTACTCATTGATTCAATTAACTTCATTTCTGTCAGTTTTAAGTATTTTCAATATACCAGTCATTTTTTACTTCAACTTCAGTGCTAGTCATTTCCCTTGTTGTTGCCCCCGCACCCTTGGTCTACACCGCTGCTGTCTACACCGCTTCCATCCCCTGGACTACCCACTACCTTGGACGAGACGGACATCATCCACCTTCAAGACATCCGACAAGGTAACGGTAGCACCAGAATTAATTTTTGTTGTTCAAACCGCCGTACGGCTTTCCGTTAAAGACCGTACACAATTTGGTCCTTCGAGCCGGATATGATTTCGTACTATGCACCTTAATTTAATAACCGCAAATACAGTCCACGTAAACATTTCTACTTATTCTCAGATAATTTCTCTCCTCATGAAACAAACCTTGCAATAATTTTATATGTAGTTATAAATTGTTGTTTAGTTTGAGTTCAATAACCTTGTACAGTGAGCAGACAGACAGGAATAGTTTTGTAAAGTTTTGGCTTGTAGCTATGCGCTGATAAATTGACCGTTATCCTAGTTTCTATGTCTCAAGGTCAACTAACGCACCACAATATTCTGCATTGTATTGTATCCATTCCAAAATTAGCTCTGACGTAACCGCACCGAATATTCGCTTTATCAATTAGCTGATCTAACTGGAAATATTCTACCTCTATATTTTATTTTACTGAATTTATTTACTTGTACTCACTTTCACAATGATATGATTGATATGTCCACTTAATACTTGTCTATTAATACTGCATTTATAATAGTTGTAATTTTTATTTGATTTTATTTTTGTTAAAGAGATATTAATATTATACATTTCACAATGGCTGCTAAGAGTCTTGAAAAGTGTGTTAAGAAAAGAGAAAGGTATTTTTATAAGTTACAATTATGTTGCGATCTTGTAAAAGAATTGCCACAACAGAAAGATAGTTTTATTGCTAGGTATTCTAATTTGTCTAATGTGTACTCATCATTTGAATCTCTTTCCGAAGAAATGGATAACCTCAATCTTGAAATAAGTGATGTTAGCGTTAGGGTAGATACCAGTGCGCCTTTTAAACAGTTTGATGACATGTACTATAAATGTATGGCTGCCTACAACAAGATTGTTGCCTCTGATCCACCTTCAAATGTCAATGTTGAACCATCACCCGCAGTTCAGCCTAAACCTAAACTACCACAGATAGATATAAGTAAGTTTGGTGGACAGTTGGAACAATTTAACTCGTTTAAAGCTTTGTATGATAACTTGATTCACAATACTTCTTTGGCCCCAATGGAGAAGTTTAGTTATTTAAAGAGCTTACTGGAAGGCCCCGCTTTGTCTATTGTTGAAGGCATACCTTTCGATCCAGACAACTATAAGTTAGCTTATGACTCTTTGGTTGAACGCTACACCAATCCCCGTATCTTGGCTTGTTTTTATCTCAATAAAATACTAGATCAGCAACCTGTAAAGACCCCTAGTCTAAGTAGTTTAAGACAAGTTCTTGATGTGTTTCATATTAATGTCCAAGCGTTGAAAAGCCTAAAAGTAGATGATTTGTCAGATTTCATGTTGCTACAGTTAGCGCTACGTAATTTAGACAATAGTACAAGGAAAGCATTTGAGTTAGAGTTTAAATCTAAGCAATTTCCCACCTTAGAAGACCTTATGGAATTTCTTCGTGCTCAGTGCTGTGTCTATGAACTCACTAAAGAATCTCACAAATCTACTTTAGTTTTGCCCAAGTCACAGATCCCTCATACTCGCAAAACATTGTTCTCATCTCACTCATCTCAACGCAGTACAACTCAGTCTGACCGCACAGCAACCCAGTCATCTTATCGCCCCGCTATCAGTTGTCCTATGTGTAAAGGTGAACACCACCTGTACCGATGTGATCAATTCCTCGCTTTGGCCCCGCACAAACGTTATTCTACAGTACGTTCATTCAATCGTTGTTTCGCATGTCTCGGTTCCCACCTCATTTCCATGTGCACGTCTAAGTCGAGCTGTCGGGTTTGCAGAAGTAACAGACATCACTCTTTACTCCATGAACCAAGCCGAGTCACCGCACCGCTGCCTAAGCCAAATGTGAATCCTGACCTACCTCAAACCTCCGCTGCGCATTCATCGCCCTCAACCACAGTCAACCCCGCGCCTACTACTTCTGTTAACACTACACCGCCTGCTCAAACTTTATCCTGTCAGTTTCAGCATAATGCAATGAGTAATTCTACCCTGCTAGGTACCGCTCAAGTGTTGGTTCAAGATGCTCTAGGTCACTGGCAAGTGTGCCGTGCTGTTATTGATGGAGGTAGTCAGATTAATTTTGTTACTCAATCTCTAGCCCAGACATTACGTTTACCAATCAGAAAATGTAATGTTAACATTTCTGGAATTGGCCAACAATCTGATTTAACCGCAAAAGGACTTGTCACTTGTAACATTGCTTCCCGCTATAACAGAGACGATAACATTCAGATGGACGCAGTAATAATTCCTCAAATCTCTTCTGTACTTCCGGCTGCACCTATTCCCGAATCATTGATAAATCGTTTCAATTCTATACAACTGGCTGACCCTGATTTTCACCGCCCTGCCAAGGTTGATATTTTGTTCGGAGCACAGGCTTTCACAGACATTCTTTCGGATGGTTTCGCGCTTATTAAAGGCAAACCAAGCGCCCTCAGCACAATCTTTGGATGGATCCTTATGGGTGATGTTCCCACACAGCCCATGCAACAACACGAACTAAATTCTTTGTTTGTTTCATCTCAAAGCACTGATAGGCTCTTAGAAAAGTTCTGGGAAATGGAAGAAATAAATTTACCAAAACCCTTGAGTCCCTCTGATCAGGCATGTGAAGACCACTATCAGTCCACCATCCAGAGAGATAATACCGGACGTTACGTGGCCTCCTTACCCTTTAAAGACGTTAAACCTGACTTAGGCTCCACTAGAAAAATAGCTCTCCGCAAGTATCTCCAACAAGAGACAAGATTTCACAAGAAACCAGATATTCGTTTTCAATATGTGACTCACATGCAGAACTATGTTGACCTAGGTCATATGTGTTTGGCCCCTGCGCCCTCTCCATACATTCTTACTCATCACGGTGTCGTTAAAGAATCTTCTACATCCTCCCCGCTTCGTGTTGTGTTCAACGCTTCTGAATTAAGTGACACAAATCAGTCTCTTAATAAATCACTGTTAACTGGACCTAAGCTTCAAGCTGATATTGGAACTATTATCACAAACTTCAGATTGCACAAGATTGCTATGACTTGTGACTTCAAACAAATGTATCGAGCTATTCGTATAACACCGGCTGATTGTAAATATCAACATTTGTTTTGGCGCTCTGACCTCTTGGGCCCTGTACAGGAATGGGAATTACAAAGACTAACCTTTGGTCTCTCGTGCAGTCCTTATATTGCACAACGAACTTTGAAGCAACTAGTGCTTGATGAAGGTGCTAAGTACCCAAATGCGGCTGATATTCTAAGCTCCTCTTGTTATATTGACGATCTTGTTTTTGGCGCTCCAACCGAGACTTTGGCTCTTAAGCTTTACGATGAAATCACCCAACTTTGCTCATCAGGTGGTTTCGAACTCCATAAATGGTCAAGTTCAAGTAGCTCCGTCCTCGCCACAATCCCCGCCGACCGTCGAGAAACACCCCATCCGTTAGGATCTACACACTCGATTAAAGTACTAGGACTTGAATGGGACCCGACTACTGACTGTTTCCGCTACTCTATTTCACCTGTCAACAGTACACCAACCAAACGCAATGTATTGTCTCAAGTTGCTCGAGTTTACGATGTAAACGGCTTTATTAGTCCAATTATTTTCACCTTAAAACATCTACTTCAACAGATTTGGATTGAAAAACTCAACTGGGACGACCCTCTCCCTCAATCTCTCCAAAATGTTTGGGATAAATTCATCAAAGAACTACCCCTTATGACACAGTTCAAAATACCTCGCTACATTCTCAGTAACTACTTAACCGCTCAGCTGATTGGTTTCTCTGATGCTTCCAAAATAGGAATGTGCGCCTCCTTGTATCTACGTATTGAATGTGAAGATAATAGTGTAGAGTGCAATCTCCTGCAATCCAAAACTAAAGTCGCTCCTCTGAAAACACTTACGATCCCTCGTTTAGAATTGTGTGCCGCTCTTCTCCTCTCTCAGTTAGTAAAAGCGAACCAACCGCTTATTAACAAACTTCAAATATCAGACATATTTCTATTCACAGACTCCATGAATGTGCTTGGTTGGTTAAATACACCACCCCACCTACTAGAAACCTTTGTCTCAAACCGTGTCTGTAAAATCACAGAAATCACCCCTGTTGATGTTTGGCGTCATATATCAGGAGACGAAAACCCTTCTGACTGTGGCACTAGAGGTTTAATGCCAAATAGTCTGTTGAGTCACCCTCTTTGGTGGCATGGACCCTCTTTTATCCACAATGGTATCTCATCTTGGACTCTACCGCCTTCAAACTTTCCTTCGGATGTTATTGAGCCTCAACAAACTCCCACGAAGAACACCTTAACAACTAACACTGTTCCGCAAAACGATCTTTATCAATGGATGAATAGGTTTTCATCACTAATTAAACTTCAAAACACCATGGGCTATGTACTGAGATTTATCCATAACTCACGATCTAATCAATGTGATAAACGCTATGGCTCGTTATCAGTTTCGGAACGAGATGCCGCTCTGGAATGTTGCATAAAATTAGTACAAACCCAGCACTATTCTGAAGAAATAAAAGCTCTAAAACTATCCAAGCCTTGTTCTTCATCACTAAGAAAACTTTCTCCATTTCTATCCTCGGACACCCTCATGGTGGGGGGTAGATTGAAATTAGCTCCTCTGCCTGAATCATCAAAACACCCTGTATTGATACCCTCTCAGTGTCATTTGGCAAACCTTTTATGTGATTACTATCACTTGTATTCTCTACATGGTGGTCCAAAACTAGTACAAGCATTAATTCAAAGACGCTTCTGGATTATTGGTGCAAGAAATCTTATAAGAAAACGATTATTTCGATGTATCACTTGCTACAAAATGAAAGCTAAACCCACGCAACCTCTTATGGCAGATCTTCCACCCTCACGATTTCAACAGACCCGATGCTTTATTAATGTCGGATTAGATTTTGCTGGCCCTTTTCTCGTTAAAGAAAGCACGAGACGAAATGCAAAACTATCAAAGTGCTATATTGCCGTATTTGTGTGTATGGCAGTTAAAGCCGTCCATCTAGAGTTAGTGCATTCACTCTCTACTGAATCTTGTTTAGCCGCTATAGACAGATTTATCGCTCGGAGAGGAATCTGCCGAAACATTTACTCTGATCAAGGTCGCAACTTCGTCGGTGCTGCACGCCAACTACAAGAAATCTACTCTCTCCTGAAGAACTCCACCTCACAGATCTCAGAACATTTGGCTCAACGAGAAATAACTTGGAACTTTAACCCGCCATATGCCCCAAACTTCGGAGGCCTCTGGGAGGCTGCAGTGAAGTCGACCAAACACCATATTAAAAGGATACTGCAAAACCATAATTTCACGGCTGAAGAATTCACCACATTCCTGTGCCGTGTTGAAGCTGTACTGAACTCCAGACCGCTTTGCGCACTCTCATCGTCACCTGATGACGACTTTAACTACTTGTCTCCTGGCCACTTCCTCACAGGAGACCTCCTGCTATCACGACCGGAAGAAGACATCTCGGAAGAACCCTTAAACCTACTCTCACGCTGGCAGCTAGTTTCTCGTGCCTCTCAACACTTCTGGAAAAGCTGGAGAAGAGATTATCTCCATACTCTTATCCAACGCCCCAAATGGACTGAGAAAACCATCAACCTTAAGGAAGGAGACTTAGTTTTAATGTACTCTAATAATACTGACCCTTTGACTTGGCCCCTAGGTAGGATAATTAAGGTTATGCCAGGATCCGACCAAGTTGTAAGAGTTGTTAAAGTCAAAACCCCTGTAGGTATTGTAACACGCCCTGTAAATAAGTTAGTTCATCTCCCTATGGTTTAGATAGTGTTACCTTGGTCTCTTTGTACATATTATCAACATTTTGTATTATCTTTATAGTTAGGTAACAGGTTTGTTTCATGATGACGGTTATTATCCAAGGTTTTTGTTTTAAAGATTTACAGTTTCTTTAATTTTCTTTAATATTTTCTCAAAAATTGCTTTTTTGGGTGGGGGGAATGTTCGGTACTTATTAAAAGTCCCTAGATTGGTGCTACCTTAACCTTGCCCAACGTTATCTACGGCGAATCGTCCCCACTACTGGAAACGCTACTCACTAGCATTGCCGACGGCGTCATGGGCAGACGTCCGTACCTACCTACATAATTTTACATAGACTCTTTCATTTACTCATTGATTCAATTAACTTCATTTCTGTCAGTTTTAAGTATTTTCAATATACCAGTCATTTTTTACTTCAACTTCAGTGCTAGTCATTTCCCTTGTTGTTGCCCCCGCACCCTTGGTCTACACCGCTGCTGTCTACACCGCTTCCATCCCCTGGACTACCCACTACCTTGGACGAGACGGACATCATCCACCTTCAAGACATCCGACAAGGTAACGGTAGCACCAGAATTAATTTTTGTTGTTCAAACCGCCGTACGGCTTTCCGTTAAAGACCGTACAGGGAGTTTTATCTATGGTCTAATATATTAATTCAAAAATACTGTAGGGACCTCTTCATGGGACACCCTGTAGGCCTATATATATAAAAACTTTGTAAAAAATTGCAACTGCTTGTAATTATTGACGCTTGTTCTATCCTAAAAAAAAATATGTCAATAAAGAAATTGTCTATTGTCTATTTCTGCCTCTCTCCAATACATGAGTTGGTTTCGTGATCACAGAGGTTATAATGATTGTTGTTGTGTTTTTGTTGTCAGTTGAGTCTCATCAACCTAACAGCTGTCAAGTGGCAGGTAAACGGCAGCTATGGAGGAGTCGTCCGTTTTGTTGGGTCCAGTCTACAACTGTGTCCCGGGGACTGGGTCAGTCAGGATGCAGCTCTCAGGTAGGTCTGTTATGGGGTGCCGAACTGCCAAAATAAAGGTAACTATTTGGTTAATCCTTAACAACCAATACATAACATGACCTGTTTTTGAAAGTATCACTTATTCCATTTTATGAATCAAAATCTTTATCGTTGTTAGTAAAAATTTCCACAAATGCAATAAACATGGTTTGGAATATATGGTAGTTTTATCACAATAAAATACGGGTAACAGTAGTGAAAAAGTAATAAAACTACTTAAGATAAAATTGCATTTCATTAAGTTATTACATACATTAAACAGACATGTAAAAAGCTATACATAAAAAAATGTAAGTAATGACAATAACGCTGATTAACACAATTAAAAATTTTATGGAATTAGCCATGATTTTAAAAAAGAGTAGATAATTTACTTGAATAAAAGTCTTAAATCAAGTATAACATGAAATTAAAAAAGTCAATAAAAGGCCTAACATTTTCACAGATAATAAATAATTGTATATAAATGCGTATAGAGTACAGGTCACACTTTTGTTGCCGGAGCATTGCTGGTTTGTAATTTGAGCTTACGATTGGTACACCCTTCTGCAATCTCCCTACGTTTATACTCGCTCTTCTAAATTTAATTCTTAATTTAAAAATCAAACAAACCCCTCAAATATGAAAAGTACAATAAAATGGTTAAAGTAGTACCCCAACACTTTCAGTATCCTTTCAAATCCTTCCTTATTCTACACAATATACACAGAGAAATTATTCCAAACATTGTCACAGATTTTTGTGCTATTTGAAGGTTCAAAAAAATTGTGGAAAGTTCAGCTGATGACATTATAAGCTACCGTTGCACAGGGTACCTCCATTGGCCCCATCCCCATCAAAGTTATTTTTAACTGCACAAAGCAATTTTCGTCGAGATATTTTCTGTTTCTTCCTTGAATCAGTCATGAGGTTTGAAACTCAGACAATATGTCATGTAGAGAATTATTACCCCTTACATGCATTACAAGGTGGGTTCACTTGAAGCTATAACTGTCCTATACATGGTGTTGCATTCCAAGTGCACTGGACGCTGTGTCCTAGATGAAGTAGCACTAACTTGAATTAGAGAGCTGTATTAGGTTCTATAATGATAGGACCAATGTGTTTTCCTCTCCTTTTTTGTAACAATTTTTTGTGTTCACAATGACCTCATGGGTCTTTAGGTGGAACTTATCAAGAAAACCTAGGTGTGAGCCAGACATTACAAGAATGAACAGTATTGATAAAGCAATAGTAACGCCTACAAAGACTAGGATTTATGGCTTAACATTACCACCTCGGTTCTACCTAGTCTTGAGTGTTTATTGAGTTCTAACCAAGTTGACAAAGTATAATCTGTTCCCAGATTTGGATCGAGATATGCTCAACAATGCAGCCTACGACCAAGCCAGCTGATGTCATCTCAATTGCGAAATCAGCTGATTGACCTTTATTTACAATTTGATTCGTATTTATATGCTTTGCCTGTGTTGGATACAAGCTTTCAGCAAGGCAACAGATTTCCTAATAAGGTATTTTAAATACGCTTTATCTGAATTATTACTAGCCTAATAAAAATTTAGCCTAAATCATTATTTTAAGGGAGAACTATTACCTAATCCAAAGCAAATAAAACTCCTTTAGCCATGTAGTTCAGTTTATTTTCGTATTGAATAACAACTAAACCATTGATAGTACTTCTATGATTACTCTAGTAATATAATGAAGATTATGCCTGTATAAGCAGATTTGTTTGAAGGTTTAAGTTTATCATGTAGCATTCGGCAAAAAGACCTCCCGTATTTCAAAAGCTAATAAAAACCAAACAAAGAATGATAGATACTCGTAAAATACGTTTATATTTATAAAGTTCCAATACCAGATCATTTTACATTATTTGGTTTGAAAATGATGTCTGGTAAATGCCAACGGCCATTATAAATACTCAACGGCAGTACGTCCTCCATTTGTTGAGTATTTTTTGAAGTTATCCATAGTCCATTGTATCATTTCTGGTGAAATGGTAGCACTGCTTGAATGCTTGCAGGGTTGTGAGGCGAGATTTGTACACTTCTGCCTCTAAGTGTCCTCAAAGCAAAAATATCACAAGGTGACAAATCGGGTGACCTACAAGCCAGGTGATGTCTTCTCGCAAAGAGGGATGTCTAGGAAATGACTATCTCAAAATTGATAGAGAACACTGTGAAGTGTGTGCTGTGGCTCCGCATTGTTGAAATTAGATTTATTGCTCTTCATTGTCCTCAACATTGGTTCAATTTAGGTCTGAGCAACTCCTCAATCATTTGACAGTAGGGATTTGAGTTGACAGTTACCATTATCATATAATCTTTGAAAAAATACGGCCCTAAACACTGAATTTGGAAATGTCTCACGGAACTTGAAGTTCCTGCTTGTCCACAGCCCAGTGGTGGAAATTTTGTTTGCTACAGGGTACCTATGTTTGGTATAATCTTTCTTGCACCTATGTATAGGAATCTTTTCACACTGGCTTCTATCAGACAACCCTAGGACAACTGCATGTTTGATTGTCCACTTTTTTTAGATTGCTGGATTTTCTACATTTGCCACATTTTCTTTCATCATTGTGATACAAGGTTGACCCCACACTGTAAATGGTTGACCAGGTATTGCAGAACCTATTGCACAAAAGTTTTTTACCCAAAGATGAGTAGTTTTCCTATTTGGAACAGAGTCGTGTCGGCCAAGTTCAAACCAAATGTAAAATGCTCCCTGAGTAGTTATCACAGAACCACCATTACGAATAAACTCTTCCAAATTAGCCACTCCATGCTCACCACGCCCACACCATAGCTGCTACTGAAAATGCCACATGGCATGAGCCTGTCTGTAGGTGGCTTCTCCACTTCCGTGTCCGTACCACAACTCACACAGCTGGCACTCAAAATACGGGAGGCCTTTTTGCCGGACGTTGTATTATGCTGGAATATTATTTTTAGACAATTATTTTAGCTAATTGGTCTATTTCTAACTATTGAAAATCTGTGATAGTAAAATTGACAACATCACATTTTGTCAATTTGGTTATTTTTGTTTGTAAGAATTCTATTCAAAATTGTGTTTGTTGTTTTATAATCTTTGCTCACCAATGATCTCTGCAGGAGTCAGACATGGGACAGTGGCAGTTGACTCGTAGATTCTTCCTGATAGATTCTGTGTCCGGCGTACCTGTTAATGGAAACAAGGTGGAAGTTATTCAATACCTCAAATCAGCCACTTTGCGGTAATTCAACCTACAGTACTTATTTAAGTTATCTATCTATTGACGACAACGGCCTTCAGACAACAATTAATTGTGTTGTGTAAACCAATAAAGTGGTTAAAATTGTTTAGCAAGTTTTACTATTGGCTGTAAACTACTCTGTTTTTAATAAACAGTGCAAATAAATTACCACCCCTAAAGTAAATAAAGGACTTTACAGCTAAATGTGAGTCCAGACTGTGACCTTCTCTGGCTGATTTGTAAAATTTTTATGGAAATAACTTTACACAAAACTCTATCCAATGGTACCTTACATCAATCATATGATAAAAAACTGAAAGAGAAAATACAATTTTTAAATTAGCACACTCAAGGTTCATTCTACTATGAACTCTTTGAGTAAAAAATTAGCCACAGCCGGTGTGTATAGATTGAAGTCTAATCCATTATCCAAAGTCAATGTTTAGATACTGATGCCGATGTCGTTGTTCATATGAACTATCATTCAGTAGGGGTTACTTTAGTTTGGGTCAAAATTGTCGACTATCGGGTCTCGGGCCAAAAACAGAGTGCAAAAATCAGGTTGCTTTGGAAAGTATTGATTTAACAATACTAGAGGTCGTCCAGTGGTCGAAACTCGACCAAAAATATGTAATGTACAGACTTCTCTATTTTCACCCCACACTGTAAATAAAACATGTGAGTGAAGTTTCTTCCATTTGTTTTGATTTTCTGTTTATATTTCGTCACCAGCATGGCAACCCATAAGATCCATGTTAATTTGTTCAAAAATTTTAAACTCATTTTTTGTGCTTATTTTTTAGCCTATTTTAATTTATAAAGGGATTCTGCACATCTACAGGAAAATATCTTTCCAACATTATGCGTAGATTTTCCCTGCGATGCACACAAGCTGAGAAAAAAGGTTTTAAAGAAACATGCTTGCCTATTAATATGTAGATTTTAATTTTCAAACAAATATGATTTATTTATAAAACATTATTCATTAATATCTGTGATTGTGGTATAATGACAAATATCTCCTGGCAGTCACAGCCAAATTGCCTCCCGTGGTTGTGATGAAAAATTATGAACGTTTTCTGCAACTTTCTACAGTCCCAGCAAAATGGTGTATGTATTTTGAAGCGGCAACAAATCATGCCAAAATCACCAGTGTCTTCTGTTGTCAAGGCAAAATTGTGAATTTTAAATTGCAAAATATTTGCATATGTTCTCTAAGATGGCAACAATATACAAAAATAAAAGCTTGGTCTCGGCTCGGCTCAAAAAATGAACTTCCCGTACACTTCTAATATTACAGTAGATAACTCGCTTCCTCAGGGTGCGAGCCCAGCATGGAGAGGACCAGGGGAAGATCTATCCTCCAGTGTTAACGTTGAGTTACAGTGGAATAACTGCACAACACATACAGTCTGATACACCTGTACAGATCAGCTTCTATGTAGACTTCTACAAGGACAGTAGAGTCACTTATACAATTGATGTAAGTATTGAGATCAAGTTGTATGATAATTCTTTATGTTAGTTTCTTAAACATCTTGTCAAAACTTTAGGTTTATTCTATAAGTGCTAGAATTGTTTGTGCAAGTTCATGGTACTTTTACTGTATTCAGGCAAATTTTGAAGATTGTTTTGGTTTTATTTTTGTAAAATTTGAATGCTGAGAGGCTATTTGATTAAAATATAAGGTATTAGTTACAAATTATATAACATTTTAATCATTTTAGTTTATTTCAACAGCTTTTGAGTTTATTTAGACAACATTGGTGTTTATTATGGACAAGAATACGACAATAAGCTACAACCGATTGAATCAATTTATAAATAATTATGATACATGGGATTGCTTACAATCCAAGTTTACAACAGCTGACTTTTACTCCCTAGGGACTAAAAAAAGCTTTATACTCCCAAGGAAGTGAAAGAGCTACTTTAGACTTGCAACGTATGTATTAAAAACAGCTGCTGTTGCTGCAGTATGACGACAAAAGATATTTACCTATGTGATTTCTCAGATATGGCTAGGTGTGTTGTGCGGACTGGCTGTGGTGTGGTCAGCACTACAGACATGGAGCTACTCCAAGCGTTCTGCTCACCTGGTGATAGACCTTCTTACTCTGTGTCACCTGTGTATCATCTGTGCCGGTCACTTGGCCAATGTGTTCTTTGCTGTGGTCAGTTTGGCAGCTGTACACAACTTTGTCTACTACAAGGGCCAGGCTGTTGCTCAAGTATTGCTGCCCTCTACAGCCCTGGACAGCTATGTCTACACATACGTTATTGTAGCGTATTCACTGAAGGTGAATTTTGTATTTTGAGCATTTTGAATGCGTAGATTACTCTTGAGTCTTTACACATAGATAATTCATTTAACGAATAACCGGTATGTTAAATGTACCGGTTACATGTAAATGTATTTTTTTTTCTTACCACTGCATGGAAATGATCACATTGCCATACGGTACCTGTAACCAGTATGCAAAATAGCTCTAGAACGGCAATCAGGGCCGAACTTACCTAGGGGCGGACGGGGCGAGCGCCCGGGCCCCCGGGCCTAGGGGGGCCCCGAAAGGGGCCTCTTGCACATTAGTTTTTATTAATATCTTTGAAAATTAATCAGAAACTTACTTACCGAATGGCCTTCTTTTTTAACAGCTTTAATGTCGTTATCCTATATTTAAGGTTATTGTTCCGAAATTCTTGACTCTAAGGGACTTTTCCTCAGGGTTGCACTTGGCCCCGCGCTTAGACCTAGTTAACACGAGCATAGCTGCTAGGCTGTGACAGACCAGTTTGAGTTTCAATGAAGCCGTCCACACAAACGTACGGCAGCGGCGATCGAGTTGAAGGGGGCCCTTCGCTTGGGGCAAAAAATACAATAAATAATATGAAGACTCTTGTCCTAACGTAGAACGTAACTTGTACAATTGTGTTGGGTTAAATGGAGATTCAATGGAGTTCTAATACTTTTGAAAAATAAAAACATTGCTCTGTTTATGTTTTATTAGATGTTATTCTATTACCTCTAAGTATATGCCAATCACGATTTTAAGGGGCAGAAGTATTATATTAACCATTCAATTAAAAGGTTTTGAAAAATAGTAATTAAGTTATACGTCGAAATTTGGATCTTCAATTTAGTCGTTAAGAGTCAACATCATACAGCGCCAGTAGGATAAAAAAATCTATATAGACATTTTATGACAAATAGGGTCGTCTGATGTTAACAAAAATTACATTATTTGAGAGCAGGCGAGCGTTGTCGACTGAAATCGTAAAAAAACAAGCAGCTGCAACAATAAATGATAATGAGCTGATAAGGGATCCTGTCTAGTCCTGTCTGTCTCACGCATGCGCATACACATATAATGCCTTATCGCCTATCCAAAACAATTTAAATCACTTTACTCCCAGTGTGTTTTTGGTTTACATTGTCGTACTTTTGTGTTGTATTTTATTAATAATTCTGCAAACACTACAAAGAACAAATTAATGTTGTATTGAATGTTATGTTTGTGTGGTATTAATCTGAGATATTGAATACATTTAAACATCTTTCAGTTACTCATATAAATGGTTAGCTTGTGATTGGTTATTAGACTTGTATTGTAACATTTTACTCGTCAAGAAATAAACTCAAACTCGTTAAAGTTCTTAATGGTACTTTTCATGCTAGGACTTAAACATACTATACAAGAGAATTCCATGCCAAAACCACTATGAAAATAAACATAAGTCATAGTTTTTGGTTTTAGTGCAGCCAAGAAATGTAGGAAAAGGGGGTTTTAATTGCCATGCCAACGTGACCAACGTATCAGAGTGGGAAGTGACATTTATTCATAGGGAAAATAACTATGTTCTAAACCTTATAATGACTAATCTATAAAAAGTAAACTTTAAAATTGTTTTGACTTGTATCTTATAAACTTAGTAAAAGGTTTGTTAGTAAAATTATAGTAAGTTATAAAATATATTAAAGCTTTTACATCACGTGTTTAAATATAACTTATTCCATTAATTAATGTTAGTTATTTTTTATTTGTGTTTTCATTCAAGCACCAAATACAGTAGAATGTGTATTACAGTAAAAAAATTAAATTAAACCTTTTACAAGTACGTGTTCTTTTATTTTTATTTTATCTATAGTTTTCATTATTTGTTGCAAAGGATATTACATTTTAATGTATTGCAAAAAAATGTGTAAGGTACCTGTTAGGTATATTAAAATTTTATAAATACAATTACAACAAGAACAAATCATAACATAACACCGTACATTGTAGCCATTTTCAGACTTACAATATTACATAAAATTAGTTTATGCAAAATACAGCATACTATTCTAACAGGTTTACATATTAATTCACCTTGAAATTGCCTATTTAAAATTAGTGTGCATGTTATATGCGTTGTGTACTGTATTTGTTCTCGTATAATCATACTGGGGGCCCCATCGGCAAATTCGCCCGGGGCCTCTGAAGTCCTAAGTCCGGCCCTGACGGCAATGGATCATTCCCGCTCGCTAAATCAGCTGATTTAACAGTTGTCGTTTCCACACCAATCACAGCTGCGGATCCGGCACGTTAACAACTGGTAAGCAAGTAACATAACCTTAAAAAACAAACATAACCTAAACGACACTTTATATACATCTAAAAATTTATGACACAGCCTTATAATCTTAAGGTGAGTGCCTGGAGATGTCAGTGTGTAGACAAAACTTGATGCAACTAGCAGGAAATAGGAATGCCAGAGAAAATAAAAATTAATACTCTACATACCTAGTGGAAAATGAACTCGGCATTTTTTTTCCACTACATTGTACTTTGAAAAATATTATTGTTATTTTTTATGACTATGTTTAAAACTGATCAGAAAGTTTTTGTGGATATAATTTTCGTTAACTAGAAGGACTTGAAATTTAATTCATTGAGTGAATTGATTGCAATTTGCAACGTATTAAAAAAAATTGTTTTAATGTTGCTTATGGTGGATTATTAGCTCTGAAGTTTTCTGTTCATGAGTTAAATTAAAATTTTAATGCAACGACTTAATAGTTAATATGCATTTTGGTTGTCGTATTAAAAAAACTACTCAATGTAACTTACCTGTTTTGAGTTTTAAATATTAATAAAAACGCCTTCACTACTGACGATCACCAATTGTTTAGCTGTGGTCTCCTGTCTGTGATAGCGCTTCTATACTTGTAATATTATTGACGTTTGAACAAGAGTGTCTAGATATCCCATCTGGACCAGCTGTATCCAATTTTTCATCTAAAAGGAATAAAGTTGAATGAGTCATACATAAAGTGTGCAACATGATAAAATTCTTTTCCTCCCTTAATTTTTTTACCTGTATTATTGGGGCGACATACATGTACACAAAGGTAATATACATAATTATATGTGTGGTCAGCTGGTAGAGGTGGGTCACATGGTGTGGCAGCAGACGACAGTAGACATCTTCCTCATAGACTGGGAGAGACCAAGAGCCACCAGTAACAAACAGAGTCAGCCTGTGTCTATCTGGCGGACGTACTTTGTGGCTAACGAGTGGAACGAGATACAGAGCTCTCGGAAAACCAGCCTCACTGTACAACTGGTCTCAGTGGTGCTGCTTATAAAGGTGAAAATACTCAATGGCTGTAAATAGAAACTTATTATGGCGCTAACTGTCCCAGTCACACTGTTGTATACTTCTGAAAGTGTTAAGCGTTGCATGAAAAATACAAATTGTGAAGTTGTCTAACTTGTACAAAATTGCCCCTATAATGCAGCTATTGATTGCAGTCAATCATATTGCCCAGAGACTTTTACTTCATCAGCAATTCTGCCAAATATAGAAATATTTAAGAGGAAAGTCTCAAATATTCTAATTCTAATCTAAGGTTATTATTTTGTAAATTACCTTCTGAATTCAATGCAAGACTGAGTCTAGTGTTGTAATGCATGTTTATGATATTCACAATATTTGATTTTGAGTTTCTTTGATGTAAATGTTGGATTGGATTTTAACAACGCATAGGTTTATGACGGACAAGTGTTCAATGAATTGTATTAGCCTTGTTACTCACTTTGATCAGTATGTTTATTAGCCAAATACATTACCAAAAATCAAATTAAGGATGTCTGAGTTTGGAACCATCAAAAAGCTTTTGACTTTTCTCCTAAGATCGAACTGACAATTTTATATTTAATTGATTATTACCGGTAACTGTTGTATTCCAACAAAAGTTTAGGTACTCTGTTGCACCTGTATCCCATCGTTGTCTGGTCTACCTCTCTTTTGCCTCCTTTAGTCCTTTACCCAATTGTAGTTTAGAGGCGCAGAACCAAACGTGACCACCCAGTTGCTTGGCTCGCCTAGTTATCAGAAGGAAAAGATTGCCAATTTTATTCTGAGAAAAGTCTATAAATCGTTTTAATGGTTCAAATCTGGATGCAGATCTCCTTGAACATTTTGCTTGTAATTAATGATCCTGGCAGAAAAACCACATAATATATTAGCCAGTAACAAAGCTGTCATGTCATTCGTTCAACACTTATCCTTCTCATCTTCCACATGAAATACGTACCTTTATGTGTCGGTCTGGTAAGAATTTTATAGTCTATTCTGATTCTTCTTTAGAACAATTTATAGTCACTAGTAAATACCAAACAATACATATTGATATTATCCTTATATAACTTTGGCGAAACTGATGAGCCTCTTTAACCCTTCACTTTGTTGCTTTAATAATATGGGTTTAGTTGTAACTTACTTCCATACAGGCGTTTTAGCATTAATTTTAAAAATAATCATGACCATACAGATTGTGAATCAGTTTGGAATATATTTTTTGTTTAAGGTGTTTGGGATGGAAAACTGGTCTATATCAGACCCGGATATAAACAGTGTTGCCACACCTGAGATGAAGTACAGGCCTGCCAACTTTACGTTTCAGTTTGCTGTGGCTTTTCTCGTGTTTGTGTTTGTTTACATTGTTCAGGTGGGTAAACCTATTACATGTAACACTTTCTTACTAGTTCCACTTAAAATAAACTAGTTAAACTGTATCAGTTTCAGGGGCACTATATCACAGTAGCGTAGACAGTAGCATCACACTACTTAAAAAATCCACGTTTAGATTTTTTTTTCAGTTAGTATGAAGTTAACAGCTAAGGTCTCAAAACTAACAATGCCGTTGCAAATGACAGAAAAGCTATCAATTTCACATAGCAAGTTGAAGGAGCTAGCTATATCCCCTTGAACTTCACCGAAGCTGGCAGTATTGCCAATGTTAGCAATGGTTTTCCAAACGTTGGTGCATCAGTGATGTTACTTGAAATTTCCTGGAATTAAGTTATGATATCGCAAACGTGGACAAAGCTAAGAGCGATCTCCTAGAATTGTATTATTTGTCATTGGGAAGATTGTTCGGTATCAACTACCTAGATTTAGTTAACATCAATTTAAGCAATTATGTTTACAGTGGCTGATGCTGAGTGCAGTCTATGAACGTTACGTCAAAGATGGAATCCAAGAGTTTGTTGATGTTTGCTCTCTTGCGAACATATCTGTTTTCATTTTGACTCTGGAGAATTTCGGCTACTACATACATGGCAGGTGAGTTTTGACAAACTTTTGTCTCTTGAATCTTAAAAAAAAAAATACATGTAGGTAGCTTTCAGTATAATTACCATACCATGGCAATTTGGAAACATGATATTTTATATTGGTTGAAATACTATAACTCCTAATTCCCAATTCTTAATCCACGCCTGAATTTTTATTCCTATAGATGTTTTCACGTATACTGTCATTTGAATGTGGGCTTGAGCTAACTATGTTACAAGACCATTTACTAATGTAACAATCGTGATCAGTAAGAAAGTAACTTGGGGAACATATTAAACATGAAATATTTACAAAATATGTTTATTAATTTAAATAGTTTGATAAATAAGTTATAGACTGGGGTTTAATTTCTCAGGTCTGCACATGGGTTCTCCGACACAGACATGCAGACGATAATGAACCAGCTGAGGAGAGAGGAAGAAGACTTGGTGGGTCACCGTGGTCTGTTGCCTGCCTCTGACCATCAGACGTTCCAGATGTACATTCCTAATCAGTTGCGGAGTTACTACCACAGACTGATGCCACCAGCTCCAGTGGTAGGTGCAAACATTCCAGATCTTTTGAGCTTGGTTTAAAAAATATTAATGTAACTGCTAGAAAACATTAACACAGTTTTTAAAACATATAGTAATTTTAGGAAGACCAAGGACAATAATATGACTATTACTTGGATGTTTAAGGAGGATAGCTGGCTTACCTGAATGGGATGAGCCCAACCTGGCATAAGAAACACAAAACTTTATACCGTAGAAAAAACATAAGGCCAGAAGAAAACTCTCTCTTCTTCAGTTGAAAATGCTGAGTGACAGTGAAATATTCGAATGGGTTCTGTACAGGGTAAAGTTTTAGTGTTTCTTGAGCTAGTTTGTACTCTTCCCTATTCAGGTAAGCATGTGCCTTGTTAGATCACTAACCACAATATGTTTGTTAAATTTTTTGTGAATTTTTAAATTTTTCATAATAGTTTGGACTTTTAAAAGTACATTATGTATTGTATCGCTTATTAACATTCTTTATTTTAATCTAAACTTCTTCCCTATCAGATGCCTCACTCCTGTGTATGTCAGGTCATTTGACAGTCATCACTGAATGGGTTTACTGGTAATTCAGTAAACTCTCATTTAATGTAAATTATTTGGATTAACCAATTCTGGATACTGTAAATGTGTTACAACTTTCCAGTAAGCAATGGGTGGTAACTGCGTCCTCTTTGCTTTTAAATAAGGAATGTAGTTCAGGTTGTCAAATCAATTGCAAAAAGCAAGGTCGGTGAATGCCAATGCCTCAGCTTTTAATATACATATCTGTCGCTGTCACAGGTATTATACATTTTTTCTGGTTGAGGTTTACACAAGGGGTGTCTTATTGCGCTGAGGTTAACTGTAGTTTTGGAATAGATAGAGAAGGAAGTTAATCATATCATTCATACCCCAACAAATAGTCTTAAACTAATATTAATTCTCCTCATGCTGTAATTTATGGTTTTTTCTGTATAAGATGCAAATGTAACTATACGATGTAGACCTAAATGTAAATGGAAATTTTTAGACAAAGCAGATTCCCTCAGCTGTGACATCGGCTCTGCGTCTAAAACTGACTGGAGTGTCGTCTGCAGACTTTGACCGCAGCGTCACTGCGTACCACAACATGAACAAGTTTCTGGCCGCTTTTCTTGAACATGTAAGTCTACGCTGGTAAAGATATTGTTTCAAACATTCAAACCTTAACTAAGCACTTTGATTACGGTAATCTACTACTTAACGGAAGTTAGGAAACGTTTGTATATTTTATTAAATTAGTTTTTTTATTACGTTAAAAAGTTACTCAGTTTACATAGTGTAATATTCAATTCATCCTTAAGATTTAAAGTAATTTTAATTAGCAAATTTACTTGTTTGTGTTCCTTTAAGGTCCTACCTAGGTTGTAATTTTCTCTAAAAAGGTTAGTGAGCTTGCTATTTGAAAATTCCATATATAACTCAATGAAAATTCAATGAATTGTTTTCATAATAAAATTGGTTTATCATTCTGGATTTTTTTTCGTTTCAGGCCTTGAGGGATCTTGACTATGAAGTGAGAGACAAATTATTTGCTGAAGCACTTTTAGATATCGAGTTCTCTGATACCCCTGGAAAAGCAGTGTTTTACATTGATAATGGTCATTCTTTTGACAAAGTTTTGTTCTACGGAAATGAATCGACTCTTTTTTCAATGGACCTCATGGGATTCTGCTTCTTTCAAGTCATTACTGGAGATTTTCTCTTGGCAGCAATCATAACTGCGCTTTTGGCAAAGGTATGTTCAACCTATTTCATTTTAAAATTGAAACAAATACAATTCAGTGATATAAAATGGTCATAGGTACAAAACTCATTAAATATATGGGTCTGAGGGAAAATATTAAACTTTCATTATTGTCCATGCTGATCAAACTAGGTAGGGTTTTTGTAACTGTAACATGTGTCTTATAAAATGTGTGACTTTAGGGTATTAATGAATAATTTTATATTACACTTCGTACCATATTTACTTTAATTTTTTTAGCTGGACCAGGTTTCGGAAAGAATCTTTAAAGTAGATGCTTTTTTATTGAACGTCTTTATTATTTAAATATCTTGCATATTGTCAAGGAGGAAAAAAAATTGATAAGAGAACAGTTTTTGCTGCGACAAATTTTTTGTCCTTTTGTATATCCCACCTCAACATCTTAAAACACTAGACCTTAAATAAAGTTTTTTTTTACACTATCTGGCAAAGGATCAGTGACTAGTGACTAAAAGTTGTTCCCCCACTGACAAACGCGTTGTCCCTGGTCATTTGACTAAACTGCTAAACGAATCTTCTAAAACTACTAATTACAGTATTTCTAAATGAAAACATCACTTTACAAGCAAAGCGTAAAAGATGAAAGAACACTTTAAATGCCTTGTTTACAAGGAATTTATTAAAGTGGTTAAATTACGCATATTATTTGTTTAAACTTAATTACATCAGGTTGGAGGTTATATTTTAATGGAAAGCCAAGTAGCTACGGTAATTATAATATTATTTGTTAAGGAATACAGTTTACCTAGCTTAACTTAGGAATTAGAGTACATGGGCTAATAGACACACACCAATAAAAGGCAACAAAACATATAACACTGATATTTCGTCCTAAATAAAACTTCTTCAGAGACAAGAGAAAAGGTTGAAGAGTTGGTAGTCCCTACAACCTGCTGTCTTATTTGAAGTATTATGTTTTTACTTTCTGATATAATTTTGTTTTCAGGTTCTGATGGTGATTAGACACATAGGAGGGCGAAGGAATCTCGCTAAGAAAACATTGATTGATGAAAGATTTCTTATTTAAGATTCTAGTTTTAATGCAGTAATCAGTAGTTTAGGCTTAAGTGTTTTAACCATCAATATCTAAAATTGTAATACATATATGTAATATAAATATTTTATTTATATGTAAATTATTTATATTTGTTGATCACTATAGAGAACTTAAGTATGTTGGTGAGTATTTGGTGAGTCTAATCGTTGGTGAGTCGGTGGCTCAGTTGATAGCGTCGCGGACTTTGGGCCCAAGGCAGCAGTGTCGTGGGTTCGGATCCTGGTCACTGCCACAAAGTTTTATCAGTACAGTTCACCTTTGTACTGTACCGGCTCACCCCCTGCTTTGCTGGATACGTTCCACGCACAGATCTGTAATCTATGTGGACAGGCAAATGCAAGGTTAAAAGAGGCCGCCAACCTCTTTTATGAAAAAAAAAATGTATGAGGACATTATTGTATTAAATTGTTAAGATTTGAAAACAGATGTATTTTTACTGTAATAATTGACTATTTATGTGTACAGTGTGTGAAATAAAGAACTTTTGATTTGATTTTCCTACTAATATTATAAGTGAGAAAGTTTGAATGTATGGATGTGATGTTTGTGACAAGTAAACGCGAAAAATACTCGTCGGATTCTGCTGAAATTTGGTGTGATGATACCTCACATTCCCGATTAACATATAGACACATTCTTATCTAAAAATCCTTTCGGGCTCTGCCCCAGTGGCTGTGGAGTTTCCCATGTTAACCTTATGATGAGTATTCATATTTAAAAGAAATAAAAGAATTTTGTCAGCGGTTTCAACTTCACAAGCTTGATACAGTGGTGTATCTAGAACAGTCACAAGGGGAGTGGCAAACCGGGGGTCGGGGGGGTTCAAGGGTATCACCCTGAAAAATGTTTGTAAACTTAGTCTCCAAAATGGCAGTTTTATACTATTTCTTTGTCCAAAGTTAGTGTGACAAATTATTTTACACAATGTGTATGCACTACTGTATTACATACAGTAAACAAAAAAATATATATATATATATATATATGTATGCCCAAGGGGGGGGCTGTCATCCCCTTCGCCCCCCTCTGGATCTGCCACTGTGATTCTATGATATTAAATAGCATTAAAAAAAGTTATAAAAGGTTTACCAACAAACAGCACTATTAATTCTTTTTGCATTTCGACAACAGCTAATTTGAACCAAGCAGCAATAAAAAGCTGTTAGAACTTAACTTTTTTCTATTGTATAGGTGCAGTGGTAGAACATTATGGCTATGGTAGATGTGCTATAGTGTATAACTGCAATAATCATTTTATACTTATACGCCAACCCCGTACAAAGGACGGGTACTCTGCTAGTATTTCCATAAATAAGTCATATTTATTCAGAATTTAAATGATATTAGATTTAACGTGTGCTTAGGTAGGTTTGCTGCTACGGGGAAGGTAAAAAGTGACTTTTGACCAAACGTAAATAGCATAGGATGAAATAAATAAATTTGCCAAATGTTATCAACATATATCCATAAACAAGTAAACTAGAACAGTTTTCTTTTTCTCCAAACAAATAGCATGGGTATTTTTTTAATTTACACTTTTTTTAATTTTCTTTGTAACCGTTAGACATACAACAGCGCATCAATATACTAATTAATTTATTTTTTTAAGCTCTACAAAATGGTTTAGAAAGAAATTAAAAAATTTTATGTTTTTAGGGTCAAAAAAGGGAAAACCCCTCCCCATTTATACCCAATACTCGTTTGAATAAATGAAATGTAAGTTTACACGTTTATTATTTTATACCAAATTTCATTAAAATTGGATCATTTTTGCCCGAGTTCCTCAAGGCTCCATTCTGGTGCCTTTATTATTTCTGTGTTATGTCCAAGGAATGCCTTCAATTTTTAAAAATACCCCCCGTCGCAGCAAACCTGCAGACTAAGCAAATTTCAACTTGTCTGATTACATATTAAGATTTTCTGATTACATATTTCCATAAATAAGACATATTTATTCCCAATTTAAATAGCATTAGATTTAACAAGTACTTAGGTTTGCTGCCACAGGGAAGGTAAACAGTGTTTTTTGACCAAACGTCAATAGTATAGAATGAAATAAAATTAAATTTGCCAAAGAATTTGATCAACATATATCCATAAACAAGTAAACTATAACATTTTTTATTTTCTCCATAAGAATAACATGGGAATTTTAAATTTGCATTTTTTTAATCTTCTCCGTAACCATTAGGCATACAACAATGCTTCAATATACTAAATTATTTCTTTTTTAAGCTCTACAAAATGGTTGGGAAATGAATTCCCAAATTCTATGTTTTTAGGGTCAAAAAGGGGAAAACCCCATTTTACCCCGTTCCCATGGTCCGATCATGCTGGGGTAGCGGATTTTTATCCCCCTGGAATTTTACCCCCTGGGCAAACATGACATCACAAACCAGGGGGTAAAATTCCGGCCGCGAACTTTTGAGTTTCGCGACATCAGCTCGATGGATTAAACGCAGAATTAAACATATATTTTCACGGTTGTGAATTTAATCAGAACACATCAAATTATAAAAACCTAGAGTGTACGGCCCGGATTTTTACCCCCCGGAATTTTACCCCCGGAATTTTATCCCCCGGAATTTTACCCCCGGAATTTTACCCCCAGAATTTTACCCCCTGGCTAGATATAAAAATTAGTGAGAATGATTAATTATCTTCACTCTGTTGTAATTTAATAGTAAACATTTTATTATTAAGTAGCCTATCTTAATTTATTTGTGACATTAACTAATCGAATATGTTTTTAATTTTAATTTTGAGATTCAAGTATTAGGATTCGATCTTTGAAGCCAACTTTTGGTTAATATGACGTATATACAATCAACTGAATGAGATTACAAAATAAATAAATAAAGATAGGCCACTAAATAATGAAATGTTTATAATTAATTAAAAACAGAAATAAGAAAACCAATCATTCAATTTCTAAAATCGGCCAGGGGGTAAAATTCCGGGGGGTAAAAATCCGGGGGTAAAATTCCGGGGGTAAAATTCCGGGGGGTAAAAATCCGGCCCGTACATTTCAGTTGTCTAAACACTAGCTATATGGACAGGGGGTAAAATTCCGGTTTTTATCGCTAATTGAATTAATCACGCTCTGACTATTTTCATTAGACTTCGAAATCCGCGGGGGTAAAATTCCGGCCGCGAACAAACTTTTGGCCACTCAGGTTACTACGTCATAGTGACGTCAGCTTTGCCCAGGGGGTAAAATTCCAGGGGGGTAAAATTCCGGCGACCCATCATGCTGGTTCGCGAACTCGTTCGAATAAATGCAGGTTTAAACGTTTATACCAAATTTCATCAAAATCGGATGATTTTTGTTTGAGTTATCGTGCTAACGGACACATAGCCTATATAACTATATATATATATTTAAATATATATATATATATATATATATATATAAATTTGAACGGATGGTGTTTTAGGCCTCTGGGGACCTCAAAATGAAAACTTAAATCGGTCCTGGGTCCAGATTTTACCATATGTTCGTGAATTTAAATGAATAATACACGAATTAATGAGCTTGGGCCCATTTCATAATAAACTACAAGTTACAAGTTTGTAACTTCTAATTTCCATTAGATTTGCATTGGACGATCAGCTGATTTGCTAATAATATTAGTTTGTACTTTATTATGAAATGGGCCCCTGGTGTCATCTGTCTGCCATGTAATCTTATCAGACGGCTAGCGCTAGACAACACCACTTGCAACGTTGCCAATTCTACCAGGCCGCGGCCTGGGGCCCATTTCATAATAAAGTACAAACTAATATTATTAGTAAATCAGCTGATCGCCCAATGCAAATCTAATGGAAATTACAAGAAACAAGTTGTTAACTTGTAACTTGTAGCTTATCATGAAATGGGTCCCTGGAGTTAAAGGTGGCCGTGACTGTGGACGTAAAGGTATGTACAGTTGTTATGATAGTCTAATTTACAGTTCAGGGGATACACAATGCATTTCAACAGAAAACTGCATTGTACAGCCTCGTTCACACGGGGCGAGTTTACACGCTACTCGCCGGCGTGTAAGAAGCTGGCAAGTTGGCGAGTGTGCTTGTATTCGTTCACACGGAGCTTGTCCACTCGCCAACTCGCTGACGTGTAGTAAGACGCCGGCGAGTCGGCGAGTGCGCTTGTAGTCGTTCACACGATGCTTTTTCCACTCGCTCAGTAGCTTTAAAACCGAATCCTTCAACATCTTTGAATAACACGCGCACAAGCACAAGCAACTGTGTTCACACTGGGCTACTTTACACTCCTACTCGCTCAAAAGCTAGCGATTTGGCGTGTAAAGTAGCAGCAGCGTAAACTTTTTCCAGAGCTTTTTTACAAGCAGCTTTTGAGCGAATACGTCGTTCACACTGAGCTATTTTTCTAGCTGCGTGTAAAAAAGCCGGCGTGTAACTTGTAAACTCGCCCCGTGTGAACGGGGCTTACCATAGATAAAACATGTCTATGATTGTACACTTAAGCCTCGTTCACACGGTGCGAGTTTACAAGCTACTCGCCAGCGTGTAAGAAGCCGGCGAGTTGGCGAGTGTGCTTGTATTCGTTCACACGGAGCTTGTCCACTCGCCAACTCGCAGACGTGTGGAAAGACGCCGGCGAGTCGGCGAGTGCGCTTGTAGTCGTTCACACGATGCTTTTTCCACTCGCTCAGTAGCTGGCTTGAACCGAATCCTCCAACATCTTTGAGTAACAAGCGCACAAGCACAAGCAACTGTGTTCACACTGGGCTACTTTACACGCCTACTCGCTCAAAAGCTGGCGAGTTGGCGTGTAAAGTAGCGGCAGCGTCAACTTTTTCCAGAGCTTTTTTACAAGCAGCTTTTGAGCGAGTACGTCGTTCACACTGAGCTATTTTACTAGCTGCGTGTAAAAAAGCCGGCGTGTAGCTTGTAAACTCGCCCCGTGTGAACGGGGCTTTACCAACAACTTAACCTAATCAAGGTATGGTCGGTATAACAGAAAAGTACCCAAGTAATTTAGTATTTAATTAATAGTTGTTAATGATTAATATTAAGTTTTTTTTTAAAACTAACTTTACAACTACGAAACATTAAAACATTTTGAAAATCGATGAGCTTCGCGATGGCTTTGTTGTTTGCTGTCTGTATGTTGGCAGCTTTGCTTGACAACAGACAAATAAGCAGAAGGAAAAAAAGTATGTCAATTTTCAAAATTTCTAGTCCTGGCGTCTGTTTTGTTTTGTTGATTAATGATTATAGCGTTTGTTTACCTATGTTAGTTGTGTTTTATGTTTACTTGTGTTGTGTTTAAGTTTACGTTGTAGAGTTAGTACTATTTAGAAGAAGAGTTAAGTAGTTTACAATGAGTTAAATTTATTTTGTCAGGAAATTTGAAGGTGAATGGCTAACTCATAGTCATACTAATATTTTAGATGAGAATTCCTGAATGAATTTTACTTATTAAAATATGAAGAGCAATTTTCTGCGTAAGTGTTTTAAGTAAATTAATAAATACTCTATATTTTTAAAACCTTTTCTGGGATTCTGATTTATGGGGTTAAATTTTTTGTTAAATTTGGGAGGTCAACTTTTGCTCATTTATGATAACAAAACTTGGTAGTGTTCCATGGTAGGCTGGTTTTTGCTCTGTGATTTACACTAACCTAGTATAATGTAGGCCTAACCCATTATAATATACAATCAATGACTGATACAATACAGTCATGTTTATACGTGGCCTGTGGAGCAGGCAGGTAAAGGCGCGTACCAGAGTTAATAACATAAAGTTAATTAACTTTTGTTATTAACCAGCAGTCATTGACAAAAAGTTAATAGGCCGAACAGAAAGAAAGTCCCTAAGTTATTAAGAAATTATTTTGTAGGCGTACTTCAGTTTTTGTTAAAAACATTTATGTTAAAACCATTTAAGTCACTCCGCAATCTTGAATCATCGCTCATGCACAGCCAGCAGTTGTAGAATTCAACGGTGGTACCAGAAGTATGAGGTTATCGGTTTGATCCCGAGAAAAGTCTGTAGTTTTTGGATGGTTCATAAGCTTGGGGAGTCATAAAGAGACCCAGTTGTACGTGAATTACACAACTAGGTTTTATCAATAATGGTCTTGGTTAAAGAAAAATTTGATCTTGGTCAGAAACCAAGGTGAAAAAATAAACCATTTAACTGATTGTAGACTGTGTAGAAAATAACATATGAGTGAAGGATGGACATAATAAGCGACAAATTACTGCAACCAAAATTTATGGAAGTTATGGCAATGCATATTTAAAACATACAAGTCACATAAAAGTGTTCTATTTATTTGGCAAAATTAAGTTAATATATGAGCAAACAAATAAAGAAACTGAACAGGTTTGTAATTAATACGCAGGATTTTAGAGACCCTGTTTCAAATTACACTACAGTAGTGACAAATAGCTTGTTTAGCCCTTAGTGAGTAGGCTATAACTTTTCCTGCACCAAAGAATCCCCTCCACTAAAAGCCATGCAAATATTATTAGTATTACATGTACCGGTACCACCATTGAATAGTTGTTACCCGGGGGTTGCGGGGAAGAGAGGGACCTGTTATTAACAAAAGTTAACGGGCTAAAAGAGACCATTAACTTTTGTTAGGTACTAACATTTGTTAAATACATAACACATTTCCTTTGATCTTTACCGACTCTTGATGGATAACAAGGAATTTTCTGTTAAAAACATGAGTTATTAACTTTTGTTTAGAGAAATTTTTGGGCAATTCTGTTAAGTTAATAACTTTTTGTTAAAAACACGTGTTATTAACTCCGGTGTAAAGGCGGCTTAAGGGAGAAGGTTAACTTACTTGCTTCTAATGTATTTCAAGTTACCTGAGGCAAGTAATCTGCCTGCCAACTGCCTTAGATTTAACGCGGCTTTATACATAACTTAGTGAGTCACACAAAAAGATTAAAGCCTTACTTCCTTAATTTTTCAGATTATGACTGATGGAGATGGAAGCCTTAATTTGATTCTCCATGACAATAACAAGGAGATTCCAAAGACTTCATTTGAAAAGAAGAAAGTTGGTAAAGATGGGTAAGAGCTTTTTAATTTTCAATCTGAATTGAAAACTCTGCATAGGCTTCATTACGGTACGGTAACTTACTTGACTTTTGTAGAAACAACCGTGGAAGCCCTTATTTTAAAGTTGATCAATACATATTTTGTGCCCTAATTTGTCAAAATTTAAATACTATTAAGTTATAGGCCTACTTAATGAAGTTAGGTAGTACTTACCAGTAGTCTACTGCTAATCAAATGAAAATTTATAGGTTGATAGGAGGAAACTCATCCAGATTTGGGTATTTTTTAGTTTTATTGTAAGATTTTCAAATTTAGCCTACCTCCCTCAACGTCGATGACCAGCCCTTGGTGGATAACTTAGACAGAATTAAAAACTAATAAATATGTAAGGCGTACATAATTACAAAATAGCCTAATAAGTTCATCGAAAAGTATTATAAAGTACTAGCAGGGTACCCGCCCTTCGTACGGGGTTGGCATATAAGTTTAAAATGCTTCTTGCAGTTATACTCAAGCTTTGCATTTGCAATGGGGTGAGGACAAAGTTTGATCAAATTTGCTTCTTTAAATTGACGGTAAACTAATGGTATTACACATCTACGATAGCCATAATGTTCTACCACTTCACCTAAACAATAAAGAAAAATTAATTATTACGAATTCACAAAAAATCACAAATTATAGTAGGCCTAGTATAGACTCTAGTAGTTAGACTTCAAAATCCACGGGGGTAAAATTACGTCCGCCAACAAACTGTAGAGCTCTCAAGTTACTACGTCATAGCAATCAGTGACGTCAGAATTGCCCAGGGGGTAAAATTCCAGGGGGATAAAATTCCCGGCAACCCTATTGTTTAACACAAAACTCAAAAGCTTCAACTGATTTTGGTTTTTGTCAAGATTTATGTGGCTATTAAGTAAAAACGATTTGTTTCTTGTAGATTGGTACTTCATGTCCACCATTCATTGCCTGGGCCGAAAGGAAAAGTTTCTAAACACCATTTCACCTCAGCGTCCTTTGATTTGGCAGGAGAACGACTAGCAGTGTCTGACTCTATGGGGAACACCTTCATTATAGATTTATTGTATAATAAGTGAGTATTATCAACAATTTAAGTTTATAGGCTAATTTACTAGGCCTTTTGATATCCTACTTGGCTAAAATAGGTTAAAAGCTAAAAGTACTCTTGACAGGAAAAAAGAAGGAATGAAGCTGATTTGTATAGTAAAAATGTTGGATAGTTTTACCAAAGATTAAAAAAAGTTAATATTTGAGCAATTTGATTAATCTTGGGGACTTAATCCAGTTTTAGTAGCTAGACACGGTGTGAACACAAAAACAATTAGTGGCAAGCAACATCCGCGTGCAGGAGCAGCTTCAGGATAGAGTCTCGGAGGGGGGCGGGGGGGGCTTGCCTAGCACATTGTGTTTCAGAAACGCACCCCCTTCATAATCATAGGCTAGTTATATTATATAAATTATTTAAGATGGGGACGCCACTATGTGCGTATTTTAACCCAAATATGTAGGAAGGATGAGTTGCACGATCTTGTAGTATTGTTAGTCACTAAGGTTGATACGTTCCTTAGACACAGCTGTTTATTAATAGCCCATACAGCCAATGGCAACTAATGGACCTACAGTTTATAGTGGAATCCGAACCACACTTTTTCCTTGTAATTAACGAATTGGTCTAAGTATCAGGATAGTACTGCGGATAGTCTTAGTACTCTCTAGTGCGGACGTTAATCCACAACAGGGAGCATCGCATCCACAGTGCATGCCTATAAATATCCACAATTCGTGACCTCCTAGTAGCTGGATTACAGGGCGATGCCACCGTCCCAGTCATAATAGTTGATATAATGTGTATAGTGTCTATAATATTATAATATCAAATTGGGGTACATATTAATATAGGCTTTGTTTTAGTCAATACCGTATCACACTAATTACAAAAAGTAATTAACAAATATGCCTAAATATGTATGTGAGAAAAAGGTTGCTATTCAAGCATAACCATAAAAATCTTAAACTTGTATATTTTACTGTGTCCAAAACTTGGATTAATATTGTTGCGGTTGAGCCTTAAAAGTAGGTACAAGACGATTCTGATTAACGATCAAGAACACTTTTTGGTGGGAGAAGTTTCCAGGTATTGTTGATTCTCAATACTTTGTGACTTTGGATTCAGTACCGAATCAGAATTTTCCACAATCCTGTCAAAATCTGCTTAGCTAAGCAGAAAAATAATTATTTTGTACCTATCTTCTCACCTGTTTGTTTACAGTTTACATGACTTAATGTTTTCTGATAATTTAAATTACTTTACAGATTTTGGATGCTTCCTAAATTGCCAGCAAGTAACTTCATTGTCTTTTCAAAGTACAACCTAAAGAGACAAGAGATCCTGGTTGGAAGTGTGTCTGGTCCTTTGCTTTTTGTCAATGTTGGTAAGTTTTGTCCCCGACATTAGTAAAACATTGATATTGTGTTTATTTTTTGTTCAGGGGTCTTTTAACATTACAGTAGCCTTACTTGATTTAAAATTCTACGATAAAGATTCTTCCGTAAAATATCAAGGGTTATTTGCTAGACAACCGTTGCCACTCAGTGAAGAAACCAAGCAATGAAAATGAAGAAAAGTGATTGTCCCTAATGGTAAAGGACAATCACTTTTCTTTAGACATGGCCTATTGTAAACTAGGGCTTAATGGTTAAATACAATATTTGATTTGGTACCTGTATTTAAGGGATCAGACATTCTTAATGCTGGTTTTTAATTTAAAATAAGACCTGTTGATTAGAATTCAGAACAGATCCTGTATATGTTGTAGAGAGTGGAGAGCTTGTGACATAAAGGAACCTTGTGTGGATAAAGAATTTGCATATCTCTGACTTTCTGTATTTCTTGACTTTCTTGACTTGGAGCCGTACTGTCTCACCGTGTGTGTTGTAGAGAGCGGAGCGACAACTGGAGAGCTTGTGGGTCACAGAGAGCCTGCCTTGCATGTGTCATTCTGTGACTTGGAGCTGTACTGTCTCACTGTGTGTGTTATAGAGAGTGGAGAGACACCTGGAGAGCTTGTGGGTCACAGAGAGCCTGCCTTGCATGTGTCATTCTGTGACTTGGAGCCCTACTGTCTCACCGTGTGTGTTATAGAGAGTGGAGAGACAACTGGAGAGCTTGTGGGTCACAGAGAGCCTGCCTTGCATGTGTCATTCTGTGACTTGGAGCCCTACTGTCTCACTGTGTGTGTTATAGAGAGTGGAGAGACAACTGGAAAGCTTGTGGGTCACAGAGAGCCTGCCTTGCATGTGTCATTCTGTGACTTGGAGCCCTACTGTCTCACTGTGTGTGTTATAGAGAGTGGAGAGACAACTGGAGAGCTTGTGGGTCACAGAGAGCCTGCCTTGCATGTGTCATTCTGTGACTTGGAGCCCTACTGTCTCACTGTGTGTGTTATAGAGAGTGGAGAGACAACTGGAGAGCTTGTGGGTCACAGAGAGCCTGCCTTGCATGTGTCATTCTGTGACTTGGAGCCGTACTGTCTCACTGTGTGTGTTATAGAGAGTGGAGAGACAACTGGAGAGCTTGTGGGTTACAGAGAGCCTGCCTTGCATGTGTCATTCTGTGACTTGGAGCCCTACTGTCTCACTGCGTGTGTTGTAGAGAGCGGAGAGACAACTGGAGAGCTTGTGGGTTACATAGAGCCTGCCTTGCATGTGTCATTCTGTGACTTGGAGCCCTACTGTCTCACTGTGTGTGTTATAGAGAGTGGAGAGACAACTGGAGAGCTTGTGGGTCACAGAGAGCCTGCCTTGCATGTGTCATTCTGTGACTTGGAGCCCTACTGTCTCACTGTGTGTGTTATAGAGAGTGGAGAGACAACTGGAGAGCTTGTGGGTTACAGAGAGCCTGCCTTGCATGTGTCATTCTGTGACTTGGAGCCCTACTGTCTCACTGTGTGTGTTATAGAGAGTGGAGAGACAACTGGAGAGCTTGTGGGTCACAGAGAGCCTGTCTTGCATGTGTCATTCTGTGACTTGGAGCCCTACTGTCTCACTGTGTGTGTTATAGAGAGTGGAGAGACAACTGGAGAGCTTGTGGGTCACAGAGAGCCTGCCTTGCATGTGTCATTCCGTGACTTGGAGCCCTACTGTCTCACTGTGTGTGTTATAGATAGTGGAGAGACAACTGGAGAGCTTGTGGGTCACAGAGAGCCTGCCTTGCATGTGTCATTCTGTGACTTGGAGCCCTACTGTCTCACTGTGTGTGTTATAGAGAGTGGAGAGACAACTGGAGAGCTTGTGGGTTACATAGAGCCTGCCTTGCATGTGTCATTCTGTGACTTGGAGCCCTACTGTCTCATTGTGTGCGTTATAGAGAGTGGAGAGACAACTGGAGAGCTTGTGGGTCACAGAGAGCCTGCCTTGCATGTGTCATTCTGTGACTTGGAGCCCTACTGTCTCACTGTGTGTGTTATAGAGAGTGGAGAGACAACTGGAGAGCTTGTGGGTTACAGAGAGCCTGCCTTGCATGTGTCATTCTGTGACTTGGAGCCCTACTGTCTCACCGTGTGTGTTATAGAGAGTGGAGAGACAACTGGAGAGCTTGTGGGTCACAGAGAGCCTGCCTTGCATGTGTCATTCTGTGACTTGGAGCCCTACTGTCTCACTGTGTGTGTTATAGAGAGTGGAGAGACAATTGGAGAGCTTGTGGGTTACAGAGAGCCTGCCTTGCATGTGTCATTCTGTGACTTGGAGCCCTACTGTCTCACCGTGTGTGTTATAGAGAGTGGAGAGACAACTGGAGAGCTTGTGGGTCACAGAGAGCCTGCCTTGCATGTGTCATTCTGTGACTTGGAGCCCTACTGTCTCACTGTGTGTTCTACATCAGCTATCATATGGGACCTGAGGACTAACTGTTTAGTACATCAGCTTACACTGAGGTCATCCATCTGCATAAAACTGGTGAGCACCAATAATACTTAGCCTTGCATTATCAAATGGGTGTGTAGCAAATTGGTATGCCGATTGACAAACTGATGGTTTCTAAAAGGATTTTGCCTTCCACATGGGTCTCATAGGGCTTTTTGTGGTATGTACTAAGTGAATCAGTGGTTAAAAGAACAAGAATTAACTGTAAATTATTTGCTTACTTATTTTTAATATTAATCAATATTTAGTTAGATGCAAGATTGCCTCTTTTCTTGATTATATGTAGCCTAGGTCAATATGTATGATCATTTTGCTTTTTGGTTCCCTGAAGGGTTTTCCTACAATACGACACAAAAATACTTTGTAATGTGAATTCCAGGGGGAGAAAATGAAATTTTATTTACAAAACAGACTCTAGTCATCCTACAACCAGCCACACTCAAGTCTCTCCCCAGGAAAGGAAGAAATAAAGAAAGAAAGAAATCTGTTTATTTTCCATATTTACAAATTGTACAGACAAGCTTTACAAACATTTGTGGAAAATATAGGTACCTCTTTAGGGGGAACCCTGTGTTGAGGTTACCATCCCTTAATTATACACTATTAAAATTAAGTTCATCCAGTGCAAAAACTAATTTTGTAACACAAGAATATACATTTAAAATAAAAACTAAAAAGAACTCTTGCGAGCATCAGAAACAAAAAATACCCCCGCCGCAGCAAACCTGCAGACTAAGCGAATTTCCATTTGCCTGATTGGATTTACACTAAAATGTCTCCTTAAAAATATCACTCCCTATTTAAATAGCATTGGTTTAACGAGTACTTAGGTTTGCTGCAACAGGGAGAGTAAAAAGGTTTTTAGTAGTTTAGTAATAAATGAATGAATTTTCCAAATTTTATCAAAATATGTTCATAAACAAGCAAACTACAACAGTTTATTTATTCTCCATAAGAATAACATAAGAATTTTAAATTTACAGTGTTTTGGAATTTTCTCCGTAACCATTAGGCGCATAATAACGCTTCAATATACTAAATTATTTGTTTTTTTTAAGCTCTACAAATTGGTTAGGAAAGAAATTGCAAAATTTTGTGTTTTTAGGGTCAAAAATTGGAAAACCCAATTTTTACCCCATAAAACCCCCCATAGACCCCTGTTCCCATAGTCCGATTACGCTGATTCGCAAACTTGTTAAAATAAACTTAGGTTTACACGTTTGTACCAAATTTCATCAAAATCGGATCATTTTTGCTCGAGTTATCGCGCTAACGGACACATATATAAATATATATATATGAATTTGAACGGATGGTGTTTTTGGTCTCTAGGGACCTCAAAATGAAAAAGTAAATCGGTCCCGGGTCCAGGTCTTACCATGAGTACTATGGTAATAGCTTGTTCCCTATATGGGAAATTCGCTAAAAGTGTGTTTTTGAGTAAAATATTGATAGCTTAGTACAAAATAAATAAATTTGCCAAGTTTGATCAAAATATATCCATAAAAAAGTAAACTACAACATTTGACAATATTCTCCATAAGAATAACATGGGAATTTTAAATTTACAATTTTTTTAATTTTCTCCATTACTAACAATCGAACAAAAATACTTTTATATACTAAATTATTTGTTTTTTTAAGCTCTTTAAAAAGGTTCAAAGAGAAATCGGGAAATTTTGTGTTTTGAGGGTCAAAAGTGAGAAAAACCAATTTTTACCCCATAAAACCCCCCGTAAAGCCCCGTTCCCATGGTCCGATCGTGCTGGTTCGCGAACTCATTCAAGTTTATCCCGCTTTACACTTTTAAACCAAATTTCATCAAAATCGGACAAAAATTACTCAAGTTATCGTGTTCACGGACGTATATATATATATATATATAAGTCTATATATATATATACATATATAAAAATTTGAACGAATGGTGTTTTTGGCCTCTGGGGACATCAAAATGAAAAAGTAAATCGGTCCCGGGTCTAGGTCTTATCGTGCCACCTACGGTAATAGCTACTTCCCTATAGGGAAATTCGCTAAAAAAAAAAATACTGTAACTTCGAAAAAATCAAAAGAGGATACTTTTATTTAGTTAAACTTAATTACTAGAGACACAAAATAATAAGTTATTGATATGTTTACAGGAGTGTTCAGAAGGTGGATAACACCCTGGGGTCAATACGGAAGCTCATGGTTTTAACTGATTAATTAATGATTAATGAACTTGATTCTGTGGATGGTTACAGGTAAGGTTCATGCCAGTATCCAACCACATTCTGGGGCTGTTTGATGACAGTTCAGTGCATGTATGGAGACTTGACAGCCTCGTCTGTACCAAGCAGATGTTCCCCGAGGATTGGGGCGGACGTAACATCAGAGCTGTGGCATTTACCAGGTCTGTAGTGTCTATTGTACATTACGACTTTTTAAACTGTTTACTGTCTGATATTACCTTTATTAAATGGAGTCTTATTTACCGTAAAGGTTTTTTTTTTCAATGTGTTACCCCGCTTCAGTTGAGATTGAAGCAGCGATTCAGACTTCACACAATTACCTATCAAATTCTTACAACTCGGAGTGGTGTTAGCCTAATGGGGGCACTGTGCAGTCACAATTAAATGTTAAGAATAATGCAAGCAAACCCAACCTAACCTTTTCATCTCAACAGTTCAAACATTAATTGTAGATGACATGTATGATGTACGTTTCATCAGAGCTTGTAGATCTGTCATTGGGTCAGGATACAAAATGTGTCTATCCGTCATCCGATGGCTATAAAATGCACTTAGTCATATAAGACAAATGTTTGAACTGTGGAGACAGAAAGTTCAGTAGTCTACATTATTCTGATATAAAAATTTCAGGAGGCAATCATGTAGAATCAATTTTAAAGATTTAAAAAATACAACCATTGTGCAAAAGTTTCTTGAGCTGGCTGTTTGTGCAACTGTTTCTTATTGCATTCTGTCGTTCAATGTTCTAAAAATAAATACAACTCATTTTTCAAAATGTTTAATCAATTTTAAATTGAAACAGTGAAATAGGTAAACTTGTTTGACGCTAATCTGCAATGCTATTATTGAGGCCTCAAATTGAAATCAACAAAATTTTAAAGAACATGGTGTGTTTTGATATTTAATGCACTAAAACCGTGTTAAAAATCAAACAAATAAAATAGAGGTTATTTTGAATCCTGTGACTTCCAAGTTACATTTTAGCAAGGCTTCTGATGTAACTTAATTTTGCAAAGCAAAACTATGTTTTTTAATTGGGCATATGATTTAAAGAGTGCACAATCCAATTGATATTTCAAAAGTAAATATTCCTCCTCACCTTCCTACTTGTTGGAAAATCTTTAGCTTTAGACAACATGTGTATTAGATCATATACACAACAATATCCTTGCACATGTTTTTTATCTTGTTACAGCTATCTATCCTACACTCTTATATGAGCAGTGTTTGCTTGAATGTATGCATGCTTGCACAAAGATATTGAAAACGGCTTTGAGGATTTCCTTACATTTTTTTAAATAATTTATTACTGGCCTAAAAACGTGTTTCATGCAGTTAAAACAAACCTTAAAACAAAGAGGTTTTTAATTTATGACTGGACAGTTAGATGATATCCTTACAACTGGAGTTAGCACGTAATAGAAAACCGGCGGCACCGTTGATTCCTCCTGGTATTTCTGATGTTAGCTGCTTGGTTGTTCATTTGTCGACAGGAATGGTAGAGGGATGGTTTTGGCAGGACAGTCTGCAGCCCTAGCTGTGTTTGTGGTGGATAACTGGACCTTACAAAAACTTATCACCCTTCCTGACAACTTCAAGGCAGTCAAACATTTAGAGTTCGTTCCACAATTGTTTGACGGAGGTGCAAACAAGGTAAATGTAAAAAAAAACTCATATTAAAACATTTGATCCCTTCCATTCCAATTGGAAAACATGTTAGATAGGTCTGAAATAGACTGTCCAATAAATCTGTTTTGTAGTTTTAACTAGACAGAGATTAATGCAATGCTTAAAAAACTGCTAGACTAGAATAATGTTAACTAACTATGGCAAAATAAGAGAAACCTTTCTTACACAATTCCAAGGTTTTTGGAAAAAAAGCCTCCCACCATGACATGTCGTAGGCTGGATAACCTCATCCCAGACAGAAGGCATCTTGTAAAGGTAGTCACAAAGGTAGGCTCAATAGTCAGGACAATCTCTGAGTCATGCAACATATCTGCACCTGCACATAGCTTCCATCTACAGGGATAAAGATATTTTACTCCGACCACAGAAAACATACTACTATAACCCAGAATGCCAACCGCATAGTAAAAAGCGTTAAGTACTTTTAGAGAGCTTTGCCTACAAATTGGCAGGCAAAGCTCTCTCAAAGTACTTAACTCTTTTTACCATGCGGTTGGCATTCTGGGTTATAGTAGTACAGTAGACCCTCTCTAATCCGGCACATCATTGTCTACTCCCGCGGTCACGGAAACGTCATCGTTGTCTTGCGTGATACTGTTATTTCCGATTTATAAATCGGAGTCACGGAAACGTCATCATCGACTTGCGCGATCGCGGCAAAATCATGAACATCTCCCGCGGTCATGTAGACATAATCGTTGTCTTCCGCAGTCGCGGCAAAGATTTTATCATCTCCCGCGGCTGTATAAACATCATTGTCTACGACCGCGGTCACGGAAACGTCATCGTCGTCATGCGTGATCGCGGCAAAATCAAGAACATCTCCCGCGGTCACGGAAGCGTCATCGTCGTCATGCGCGATCGCGGCAAAATCACGAACATTTCCTGCGGCCACGGAAACGTCATCATCGTCATGCATGATCGCGGTCAAATCACGAACATCTCCCGCGGACGTGTAGACGTTATTATCGCCTACAAAAATAATGTAATTTTGTAATTTTTTTACTGTGTGGTAAGCCTCGTTCACACGGTGCGAGTTTACAAGCTACTCGCCAGCGTGTAAGAAGCCGGCGAGTTGGCAAGTGTGCTTGTATTTGTTCACACGGAGCTTGTTCACTTGCCAACTCGCAGACGTGTAGAAAGACGCCGGCGAGTCGGCAAGTGCGCTTGTAGTCGTTCACACGATGCTTTTTCCACTCGCTCAGTAGTTGGCTTGAACCAAATCCTACAACATCTTTGAGTAACAAGCGCACAAGCACAAGCAACTGTGTTCACACTGGGCTACTTTACACGCCACACGCTCAAAAGCTGGCGAGTTGGCTTGTAAAGTAGCGACAGCGTCAACTTTTTCCAGAGCTTTTTTACAAGCAGCTTTTGAGTGAGTACGTCGTTCACACTGAGCTATTTTACTAGCTGCGTGTAAAAAATCCGGCTTGTAGCTTGTAAACTCGAGAAATAAAAGATTCTATCTTTTAGCAACCCTTTCAGACATGATCACTAACAGCAATGATTTCAGATACTTGCAGTCCTCACTACCAACTGTGTTGCTTTGTTTGTGGACACAGAAAGTTCAATTTTGCTGAGGAGTGTTGAACAAGTTGAAGGGTGTGTCAGTAAGTTGTATGGTTTTGTTCTTATTCATTGGAAGATATACTTAGATTATCTTACTGCAGAAGCTTTTTTGAGCTATGACCATTGAAAATTTAACAAGTTTCAAGACATTATGAGTTGTTGATGGAGAAGTGTTTTAAATATGCTGATGTGACTTTGTGGTTGCTACATGGGATTTATTGTGATCTTTGGATTTTATATTTGCCTTCACATTTCAGAGTAGCACACTAGTTGTTCTTATCAACTTGATAATATAGCTTGAATTGGAGATAAATCTTACTTTCATAGTTTGTTTAGACTCCTGTTCAGATAATATTTTAAAAAGTTGTGATCAAAAACTACCCATCTTGTAGCTGATATGAGATATGAGATTTAGCATACTAGAGTTATTGGGACTATTTATTACTTTAATATACTTTTAAAAATCAACATTTATTCAGTTTTAAGCTGAAAGAAGTATAACTTTAAAAAGATTTTTGGAATGACATTAACTTATTTTTCTAGACCGGCTCGAGGCAAGCCTCAGCGGGAAGTATGTTGTGTTACTGATGCAGACAGGTGAAGTAGATATATTCAGCAGTAGTCAGTTGATTTTTGGTGGGAAACATCAGCTGTTAGTATCAGAAGCTCAGACTGACTCAGTGGCCAAGACTAGAACTAAACAGCAGCATCATGAACAGGTTGGTATAACGAGTCCTTAACCCATTTCCCTTTCTGAAAATCAATCTAGTATTTATTTATTTTTAAAGAGGTTGGCAACTTCTTTTAACCTTGCCTTTGCTCGTCCGCATAGGCTATGAATCTGTGCGTGGAACGTACCCAGCAAAGCAAGGAGTGACCCAGTACAGTACGAGGGTGAACCGTACTGATAAAAAGTAGTAGCAGTGACTAGGATCCGAACACCCACGACATCGCTGCCTTGGGCTCGAAGTCCGTGACGCTACTGACTGGGCCACCAACTCTACTATTGAGTGTTATTGAATGTATTTAGTGTATTTATGTTTTAAATGAAACTAAGTAAATGCCGTGATGGTCTCAGTGAATAATTACAGCTTACCATAATTTCATAAATAATAGTGTGATTGAAGTTGAAATAACATTTCCAGATTAACAAGTTGGTAGACCTAAGTCAGTTGCGACCCATACTGAAAGAATTTGGAGAATATCCAGAAGCCTACAGGAAATTAATCTGGAAAACTATTTTGGAACTTCCAGAAAACCAAAGTGCCTATGTAACTTTGATAAACAAGGGAATACATCCAGCATTCGCTACATTAGACAAAGTTTTCCCATTGAGTGACAGATCCCTTTCCAGCAGTGTTAAAAGGTAATTAATATTTAGTGTTACATTCTTTCCTCCAACCACATTTTCAGAATTGGTTCTTCTAATTGAAGGTGACAACTGGTGAAAAGAATCTTGGGATTTTTCTTACTAGGAGTTGTTTCAAAGTATTATAAATGTACAGAAAGTTATTAAAAGTGGGTTTAAATATTTTGTAATTCTAAATCTCGTTAAGAACAAGTACAAGCATGTCTGTAAATTAAGGTCTCCCACAAGCTTTAATTGTGACAATCTCTAAAGTCCATTGCCCTCCAAGAATATGTGTGGAGAAAACTGTTTGGGCCTAAAACATGTGTGTACTTAGTAAGGAGTGGAGGAAGTTCAGACGAGGCCTGCTACAGTTGTTCTTAAGCTATTTAAAGCAGTGACGACGTTTTTTCAAGGGGAATGCTGAGTGGATGTCCCATGAACCATAGTAACCCCTGGCAGTCTTAAACATACTGATTTGCAAGCCAACTTTCCTCAATTTGTTTTACTGTTTGGCCTTCTGTACGTCATTAAAACACATTTTGTATGTCTAATTTGTCTACACACCTTTTTTCTGTAAACATCAGTCAACAGTAAATAGATAACATCTATCTGCAGAGTGCAACCTATATTTGGCAGGAAAATTTTCCCTTCCGTCATTATATGTTACAACAAGACTTAGAGGTGGGAACCGTAGTAGCTGAAGTAAAGAATACAGCTCTGTTGTCAGATTTCATAACCACGTCTGTTTTCTGTGTCGGCCTGTTTTCATTGTAACGACGACATAAACTTGTTGGAGACCTTAAATTTACGGACAACTCTGGTATATTTCCTTGTGAGTGAGGTTATGATTTCAACTACTTTACGCTCGGTTGGCTAGTTTTATTCGCAACGTTGTTGATGTAAACAGCACAGACTTGAACCTTAGCTGTCTCTACCACTTCTCAGCTTCTTACCACTGAAAGTAGTAGTTAATATGTTAATAACATATTCATCTCCTCATTTTCCAAGATCCAACGTCTAATGGAGAGGTATTTCCAAGAAGGGAAAACTTAATTGTCAAGTTTCAAGAAGAACAGTCCGATATTTATCTTGCACTTCTTCATCACCGTAACACACCAAGAGGTAACCTAGGTTCCCCAGTTCAGCGGCTGATGAGTAAGAGGACAAAGACTCTACTGCCATCTACGACCAACCAGCAATGTTTCAAAACAGCTAGAAAAAATTAAAATACGAGAGAAGCTGTGCGGTGATATGAGGAACACAGAGCCTGTTCAGTTTAAACTCGATGAACCAGTGCTTTTCAGATTCAAACCAAAGTGTTGGCTGAGAGCAAAGATTGTTCAAGTTGGTCCTGAACCACGATTGTACAAAATCCAGACTGGTGATGAACGAGAATACCGAAGAAACTCATGGTTCCTAAGAAGAGACAAGTCATTCAGAATCTCCCATGATGTGAATATAGGTCAATCGTCCAGGTCAGAATTACAAAACAATGACTCAGCTCCTGTGACGAGGGGAAAGGATTAGAGGGAAACCAAATATTTTTTACTTGTGAAAGAGGGATGACAGTAGTAGTTAATATGTTATTAACATATGGTAATTGTTCAACATATGTTTTGTGTTATTGTTTTATATTTTGATTGAGTTTTTGTTTAAATAGAAATACACAACCTTTCATGAATTCAGTGCAACTATTTAATAATTAATCTATGACAACCACCACCTGAGAATTTATTTAGTTTTGCTCTCTAGATATCACCACTAAACTGAGATGAAAACCTACATTGTGTTACAAATGGCCAGTGCTGATACTAATTTATCGGTTGGGGTTTATCTTGTTCTAGGCCTCTAGGTGCTTATTACAGATCAAACAATAAAACCTAATTTCTCTGGTTGCAGACTTCTGTCATGCCTGGCCTACTGGTCGCCAATATTTCTACAAGTCAAGCATCTGCCTATATTTGTTCTGCCTTTTGTAAAACTCATCAGACATGATCAGTTTGCTTGTTTTGAGACCGTTGCTTCGGTAATAGGTAATGTATTCTGTTATTCACTATACATAATACCATAGACAAAAAGAATTAAATATAGACATGCTGCAGTTACCATAGATCTGGCGCACACCGTTGGGAGCGCCATGTAGTTATGGTGCTCCTAGTGGTGTGCGCCAGAACCTATGGTAACCATGGTATCTGCAGCACGGCTGACAGTCTATATTTAATTATTTTTGTCCATAATAATACTTTTTTATTGCAGAAATAAAGAAAAAGTTACTTCTAACTTTGTTAGAAATTGCTTTGTTTGGATGCGAAAACTTTACTTTTTAATACAAAAGTCAAAAGGTTGAGGTATTAAAGAAATACATTTTATGCTAATGAGCACAGTCACAAAAACAATACAAATACAATAACAGTTTGCCTGCAATATTTTTAAATAGTTTTAAAATTGTTTTTTTTTAATTTTTTTATTTTGAATCAAAAGTGTAGTCTAGTTTTATCTTACACAATATTCACCTTAAACTCTTGACCCTGCGATTTAGTTAAACATATCCAAATTGGTATTAAGAAAAGGGCCACTAATATTCAGACTTTCTTTGCATGCAATATTTTTACATTTTCCAATCTGCATAATTTACCAAGTCTTAATATTTTGTTTGAAATAGTAAACTGGTGCCAAGGGTGGTTCCAGTTTGTGCCATACCCCCCACTCCATCTGCTGGACACTGTGAAGGCTCTATTGGCATCAGCTGACAACCAACTGATGGCTCACTTCAACAGGTGCCATGTAACAGCTGACCTGTACGTCTGGTCATTGTTGGAGACTGCGTTTTATGAGGCAAGTGTTATTGGAATGTTAGCCATGAAATAATTAAATGCTATGCAGTGTTTTAGTAAATGAAGTAAACACATAAGGTATATAGCTTAGCTGGTTAGCTGAGTGGTTATAGTTAGCTCTCCTGACAGTAACATATCCTAAGAAATTAAAATACTCTTTCATGGTTTGAAACTAGACTTAGGTGTCCTTGTATTGGAATATACAACAACATATATTTTTGCTTGTTTAGTCATATGTACATATTTTTATTTAAGTTATTAAGCGCTATTGTTTTTTCAAAATATTGAAAGTGTTTTTGATTTTGTTTTGTTTGACGATTGATGTATGATCATGATTTTGACTTTGTCGATGATCTAATGTATTATTATGACAAATAAAGATTTTTATTATTATTATTTATTATTGTATTGTATGAGGGACGGACTTAGTGTCCCAGCACGTCAATCGAAGCTTATTGTGCGTGTCCCACTTGTCACAAACTAGGCAAGCCTATACCTGTGTCCATGTGTCCATGGCTTTAGCCCATGTTAGTGTCTGGTTCATCATGTGGCTGCTTTAGACCAAACAAGGCTCTTCTCCTAGCCCCAAGTCTGTGGCAATCCTGAATTATATGCTTTGAAGTTTCATCAAACTGGTTCCAAAGTCGAATGTCATTGATGATTCCCACATTGTGAAGGTGTTTTCTAAAATGACCATGCCCAGTGATAAAGAGCAAGTAACTTTACCTACCTTCTGCCCAACTTTAGCGAGTGATGAGGACGCTTGGTTAAAAAAAAAAACTGAGATTAGCTTCAGTGGCCTGCCCTAGACAAGCCTTCCCTCTACAGGTTTAGAGCACGATAACCTGCCTTGAGAGTTGCGATAACCTGCCTTGCACGACAACCGACTTCTAGAGTTGCTCACTCCTGAAGGCACCAGTTGCTTGAAGCGTACAAAGCCTTTGCGAACTTTATAATTTGGCTATGAGAGTTACCTGGTTCATTTTTTTCAATCGAGAGAAACCATAGGTCATTCGAGGCCTTACCACAGCCTCATCTAGTGCTATGTGGGGTTTGATTAGTGGTCTCTGCAAATCTCCTGGACATCATGAGCGCCTGTTTGGCCTTGTGTAGTACATTGTTCAGGTAGATTTTCGTCTCAGCTTGGAGTCAAGTCCTAAATATTTGACTGTATTCGACACTCCCAGCTGAGTAGGTAGTGCCAATTTTCAACATCTAAAGAGAAGTTAAGCTCTTTTTCCTGGTGAATGAGACCGTCTTGGAGGGATTTATGTTGAGTTCTTTTCTGAGACACCATTCTTTGACATGTTGTAGGTTGACATTCATTACATCAGCTACAATGTTGGTGAATTTTCCTCATGTAGACTTAGCAATATGAGTAGCCCTGGACAATGATGCCCTTGATGATGAGTTCACATAGAAGACTGTCCACCACAATGTTCCACAGTAAGGGTGAGATTCACCGATTAAAATTAATAGGAAAAAGACCAAAATATATGGGAAAGACAATTTTTAATAAATTGCAACCTTTAATTGCAAGATTTAATTAACAAAACTTCTTTTAAACCAGCCTTGCCTCATTTTTTGTAAACAAAATGTATTACAGTGTTGATGAACTTTTGAGTGATGCCTTGTTGATTGCCCATTTTACTTTGGGGAGAGTGACAACCCTCCAGGGTATGTTCCAGCTTTCATGACCAGTTCTCAGCCAAGAACTTCTATCGCTTTAACCATACACGCCTGTGTAGTCACTCTCAAATATACAGCCTGGTATCAAGGAGAATTTGGAGATTTCCACAAACCCCGGTAGGGTATTGCCCTTCTGATAGCTTAAGAGATCCCAAGAGGCCAATAGGTTTGGACGCCAGAACCTGCTGAAGGCAGGCTGCAGCGCTGAGTCTGTTTACCTCCTGTGTAAACTGTCTCCATGAGTTCTGTTTGGCTTGTTTAATTGCCAGGCAGTATTATGTGAGGCTCCCAAAATGGCTCCAACGGCTTCCTAATGCTTGCCCTCATGCAACTCAAATCCGCAGTCCACCATCTTGTGTTGGAACTGTGTTTTCTCTGTTCCAGGGGATAGTTGTCATCGATGCAAGTGATCATATCTAATCAAATTGGTTGCGATTTGGTCAATGACTGCAAAGCAGCTGACCCTTCCACACACAGATCCCAGCTGTAACTGCAGCTCAGAGTTGTTCTGTGACCAGTTCTACTGGGATTTCGGAAGGAGGGAGTGGCATTCTCACTAAGCATATTAGAGCAGATGAATCTGTGGTCAGATAACGAGACCTACTGACTTACAAACCAGTCTATGACTATGGATATGTTCTGAACCCACAATAATGGAAATGACCTCCCGTCTGGTTTTATTTAAAAAACCTCGCTGGTTATGTTAGAACAGGTTGTTTGTGATAAGATATTGGAGAAAAGACTCACCTTTTGTATTAGTGTCAGTGTTTTTTTTTGTTTTTGTTTTTTTTTTTTTTTTTGCTTGTATCTACGCCAGTGGCATTTTTGTTATGAAGTCAAACACTTTTAAGGGAAAGCGGTCCAAACCCATTAAAGTTTTGTGGATGTGCCGGGGATTGAACCCGTTCCTCCCGCACCGAAGTCCGAGACGCTAACCACTAGGCTAGCAACACACCCCCTAGGTTAGTGTTACCCTATCCGTTGGCATGTTGTGCGTTGGCGTCACAACCTAGGAGAAGTTGTTGACCACCAGTGCTGTAATCATTGGGCTTTTCAATAGTAATGGCTAAAGAAACAAATTAATGATCTTGGCAAGGAAAATGCTATAAAGGTGATATCACTCCATTGAACATTTATCCTTCATTCTTATTTGGGTTCAAATATGCTCAGTCGTGCCCCCTTCTAATTTGGTAATTTATACAAAATTAAAGAGAGTTAATTGCATGGGCGGGAAGAGTCTAATCTTTGAAAGGTAACAATTTCTGAGGCTGCTAAATTAATTTTGTTTTTGTAGGTTTTAGGTTGGAAAGAGTGGCAACAGTTATGGGATCATGTGCTTTCAAATCATCCAGCTCTCTTACTCTTCTTTGTTGTGGCTTTCAACATTACTTGCCGATCATCCCTTATGAACCTACACGACATTGAAGACTTTGAGGTTAGCCTTGATATAGTGTGGGTTAGATCAATTTGATAAGCCAAGTAAATCATTGTCAGTGATGAGATTAGTATGGCATAGGTGGTAGGTAAGTAAAATTGCAAATGATTAATAAGAAATCGTTCAGTTTTTATTCTTGTACTTGATTTCACCATTGCAATAATTTTTTAGATTTTGATAGGGTTTTTTTGTTTGTGGCTGTATCTAATTACAGAAATAACCATGCATGTTTATTTTAGCGAATTTCCCATATAGAGAATAAGCTATTACCGTAGGTCTCATGGTAAGACCTAGACCCGGGACCGATTTACTTTTTTGTTTTGAGGTCCCCAGAGGCCAAAAACACCATCCGTTCAGATTCATATATATATTTAGTATTTTTTGAGAAGATAATAATTAACCCCCCCCCCCCCCCCTTGTAGTTTTGTGTATTAGCAGGCTTACCTGAATGGGATAGAATCTAAACTGGCACAGGAAACACAAAACTTGACACTATATAAACAAAACATTAGAATATTTTACTGTCACGGACAGCATTTTCAACTAAGGAAGAGAGTGTTTTCTACATGTTTAAAATGGTGGCCAGTGAGTTGTTGAGTCAGTGTTGCCAATAGTATGAATTCAAAAAATACAGTTTCAGTTTATCTTTACACTATACAGGGTGGCTGAAAAGTAACTTAAACCCCCCCCCCCCTTAACTTTTCAACCATTTGAGATATTTGAAATCTGTTTGCGGCAACCTTCTTAGATGGGTCGCCGGAATTTTATCCCCCTGGAATTTTGCCCCCTGGGCAAAGCTGACGGCACTATGACGTAGTAACCTGAGTGGCCAAAAGTTTGTTCGCGGCCGGAATTTTACCTCCGCGGATTTGGAAGTCTAATGAAAATAGTCAGAGCGTGATTAATTAGATTAGCGATAAAAACCGGAATTTTACCCCCTGTCCATATAACTAGCGTTTAGACAACTGAAGATGTACGGGCCGGATTTTTACCCCCGGAATTTTACCCCCGGATTTTTACCCCCCCGGAATTTCACCCCCGGATTTTTACCCCCCGGAATTTTACCCCCTAGCCGATTTTAGAAATTGAACAATTGATTTTCTTATTTCTGTTTTTAATTAATTGTAAACATTTCATTATTTAGTAGCCTATCTTTATTTATTTATTTTGTGATCTCAACTAAGTAAACAGAATTCACTGTTTTATTTTGATCATATTAACAACAGTTGGCTTCAAAGATCGAATCCTGATACACAAATCTCAAAATTAAAATTAAAAACCTGTTCGATTAGTTTATGTGTAAAATAAATTAAGATAGGCTACTTAATAATAAAATGTTTACTATTAAATTAAAACTGAATGGAGATAAGTAATCATTCTCACTAATTTATATATCTGGCCAGGGGGTAAAATTCCGGGGGTAAAAATCCGGGGGGTAAAATTCTTAGGGGTAAAAATCCGGGCCGTAAATCCTAGATGTTTATAATTTGATGTGTTCTGATTAAATTCACAACCATGAAATTATATCTTTAATTCCGCGTTTAATCCATCAAGCTGATGTCGCGAAACTCAAAAGTTCGTGGCCAGAATTTTACCCCCTGGTTTGTGACGTCACGTTTGCCCAGGGGGTAAAATTCCAGGGGGATAAAAATCCGCTACCCCTCTTAGATATGAGGGGCTACAATAATTATGGTCAATTTTGAAAATTTCGCCCTTAGGCATAGCAGGGGTAGGGGGTAGCTCAAAGTTTTCAAACGACAAGTATAGTTGAGTTTGGTATCGTTTTACAGGTCTTGACGAAACATAACAACTGACATAAAGAAAACCAAAATCGACCCACTAATAACAAAATGGCGCCCTAAACGTTTCAAATCCAAATAACCATGAAAATGGCTGAAAATACTTGCACCCCCTTTAACTTTTTAACTATTTTAGATACTTGAAATCGGCCCAACTTGTTTGGATATGTAGGCCTACAATAATTATGGTCAATTTCAAAAATTTTGCCATTAAGGGTAGCGGGGTAGGGGGTAGCTCAAAGTTTTTAAATAGGGGTATTTACTGTTCTACAGATTTGTTTTTGTATTGCAGCACTTTTACCACACAGAAGTGATGATTAATATGAATCAGCTGATCTCCAAATGTTATCAGCTGTGGACTGACACTAGAGCTGATAAACATCCTAAACACCAATTGACATCCTACAAGCCTCTGCTCAGTGGAAATATGTACCAGATATTTACTGATTACCCAAAACACCTCTTAGACAACCAGGTAAGTTTATTGACTATTGAAACCGAGGTAGAAATGTTCCTAGTGATGTGTCAAAGCCAAGTCTCAAATCTGTAATTTATATTATTTTCAGAAAAAAATTGGAACTTGAAATTCAAAACCCATAGGTAATACAGTGGACTCTCGTTGAAAATCAAAATCAAGGATAATGCTAACCTAACCAACTAACCGTAGAGTAAGCTTTGAACGTATAGTAAGCTTCAAAAAGTTTAGGTAGTAATAAAACATTTTAAACACAGTTTAGATTCATTTTTACTTGGTTTTACATGCCAATTTACAAAACAAATAATATATTGGCCAAGTTAAAACAAAAATTTAACCACAAACAAAATATATTTAATCAACTAAATGGCTGTAATCGGTGATTCACCAGTGGTCAGCGAAGTAAACAACAGCAACTCAACTCCATAGCCTGCCCGCAAGATGATAGGCCTTCACATGCTAAACATCTTGCTACCATAACGTACATTTAACTTGCATAACAATTTTTTTTTTTTTTTTTGCTATCTTGGTCGATCAGAATCATGGTTACTCCACTTGCAGATAGTTGAAGTATCAAATTTTTAATATTTTGAAAAATGTGTACAGGATTTCCTCATCAACCATTGTCCTCACATTACACATTTTCATCCACTATTTATTTTTGTTTTGCTTTGTGAGATCTACAGTATATCATCATAGTACCTGTGTATTTTGATGAACCGTGGAATCAATACTTTTTACACAAGTTTTTGTTTTTTCAAAGTCAAATTGTAGTTGATCCAACATCTTTACCCTTCCTTATTTATCTTGACAACTGGTGTTACTTTATGTATAACTATGTTTGTTTAAAATAAAGAAATGTTAAATTATTAGTTTTGGCTGGTAACATAATTTAAGCCCTGTTTTGGTTCTTTGTACCATATTTTAATTTCAAGGCCTATGTACTGTGTAATTTTTCAACTTTGTTTAGTAATACCTGGTTTTTGTATGATTTTAATCTGGCTGATTGGACAAATTTTGTTTGCTTATTGTACCAATTACTATCCCAACTAAAGTCATACGTTTACATGGGTAATGAAATCAACAAAAACTTTTCCAATAAAGTTTCCCTATTCAAAATTTTTTTTTCATTTCTCATTAGTTTTGTCCTTATATAATAATCAAGCGAATAAAGCAAATGAACTCGTGCATTTTTTCTATAACAATAATCTCACAAGTAACAAATCTGGAAACACAGCTAATATCATGCTCATTTCTCACCATTAATGACATAATGGTACCTTGATCTGGGGGAACTCTCCTCATTCAAAATATTTAAAATTACAAAAAAAGTAATACAAATATTTGGCAAAGTTCCTCGTAGAACCCTTAGTTAAACTCCCAAACACCCTTGGTTAAACTGTTCAAAATTTTCAAGTTCTAATTTTTTACAATCACTATATTTTGGAAATAGCATTCTGGATTCATAAAATCCTGTCCAATTTCAGGGATACCCAAACTTAACATAATTACTGTACAAAAAATTTAAATATCAAACCTGTAGCTCACAGTTTACAAAATAATCACAATACATTAGTCATAGTCAAAAAATCTTAAATAAATTAGCAACAAGTTTAAGTACTCCAGAAAATCCTTTAACGTTTAGACGTTCCCTAAAATGGCAGATCATTTGGAGAACTGCTGGAATTAGGTATGAATAAAACTACCTGCTCCATGTAGCTCAATTTCTGTCCTGTTTTATATTTCTGGGAGTTTCAGTTATTTGTGTAAAAACAGATGTATTTGTTGTATCTAGCTATAAGTCTTAGATTTAACAATGGACAGTATGTCCTGTTAATGATGTACTGACAAAAAATAAATAAATATGCGAACCATCAAGCTATTTTGTTCTTTATTATAAGTTATTGCTATTTATTGTGTGGAACTTGACTTGATAAACCTGTTTTTCATGAAAACCTGCAGTGTTTGTAATATTTTGGGCTTGATGAAGAATGACAACAGGATGAGTTTTGACAGGCATGCTGAAACTCCTAATAATGCTCATAAGTTAGTTGTCCCTCTTGGTATACTTTTAACCAATGGTAGCTAAGGCTCACGTTTCAGCCATGGTCGGCATTTCATATCATCGTCTAAGGAGCTGAGGCTTGTGTACTCTTCAAGATACAATAATCTTTCTTCTGTTTTGTAGCTGGAAAAGCTTAGTTCTTTCTACGACGAGCAGGAGTTCTTGAAGGGCCAAGAGAATAACATTAACAATCAGAAAGTGGGTCTTGACGCTGAGCAAAAGCAGTTGAATGAGGCTTCAGTTAAGGAAAATAGATTGAAAGGTAATCTTTCCTGTAAGGCAATTACCAACAAACTTTACTTCAATTTTATGGTTAGATGCCCTTACCTCAAAGGACAAAGAATAATTTTAACATTTATTTGTACTTTATTCTTTTTTATTCATAATTTATACCTCACGAAATAACAGTCATAATTTCCGATGACTTAAAAGTGTCAACTCAAAGATAATGTAACCAATCACTCCACTCCAGTTATCGAAACTGAAAACGAACTCACTCTGAAAACGAACGATCTTGTGTGTATCATGTATTTACTATAAACAGCTGTTTTAGTATGCAATTAATACAAATCATTTGTCTGTTTAAGTAAAAAAAATCGTTTCTTCATAAGGAATACATTGGGATGTTGATGGCCTATGATGGCAAAGCCCGAGGACTTTTATTACAGGAATTGGTGAAAGGGGGCGTCTAAATAAAAATACTCAATTTTGACACATCGTTTGTAAAAATCTGTCCATTATTAACGGATGAGTAGTGTTTTGTAGAAATCACCTTCACGTATTATCATAGACTAAGAAACACAAGTAGACTCTTCATCCCATTGTAAATTTTAAAGCTTGTTTTTCGTGTCTAGTTCATGTACGTCCATACTGATCGCTGAGGTAGACGAAATTTTGTTTCTATTATTTTAAGGTTATTTTCATGATTTGTGCTTTACTGTTTGGTTATATAACTAGGAGACCAGTTATTGTTTATGATTATATCGTTTTATTTGGTTAAATGAGGTTTTAAATGACTGAAATAACAAGGAACAAATTGTAAACAAAACACGACGTCTACAGTTGGACGAACAGAACTAACAATAAAATTGGCTTCAGCTGTTCCATAAGGATGACAAATCTACTAAGGGAGTATGTTTTATATATGATATTATATAAGGGTAATAATGTAATTTCAGCGAATTTCTCTATAGGGAAGTAGCTATTACCGTAGGTCTCATGGTAAGACTTGAGCCCGGGACCGATTTACTTTTTCATTTTAATGTCACCAGAGGCTGAAAACACTATTCATTCAAATTTGTATGTATATACTGTATATATATATATATTAGATACATATATACAAACATATATAAATATACATATGTGTGTGTGTCCGTGAATGCGTTAACTTGAGTAATTTATGTTTGGTTTTGATGAAATTTGGTTTGAAGGTGTAAGGCAAGATAAACTTAGAAATAAGATAATTAGATTAGATAATTAGTTCATGAACCAGCATGATTGGACGATGGGAACAAGGTTTTACGAGGGCTTTTATGTTAGATTATAATTGGTTTATGGTTAATAATTGGTTTTTCTCATTTTTGACCATCAAAACAAAATTTCCCAATTTTGCTCTAGACCATTTTAAAGAGCTGAAAAATACAAATAATTTAGTACATTGAAGTGTTTTTGTGCGGTTATTGGTTGCGGAGAGAATTCAAAAAATTGTAAATTTCAAATTGCCATGTTATTCTTATGGAGAATATTGTAAAAAAGTGTTGTAGTTTGCTTGTTTATGGATGTATTTTGATCAAACTTGGTACTGCAAACCTAGGTACTCGTTGAACCTAGTAGTTTAAATAGATTTAATTGTATATCAATTCAGGCAAATGGAAATTTACTTAGTCTGCAGGTTTGCTGCAACAGGGATATTGTTACAATAGATTAGTAACCTTTCATTTATTTTTATTTTTAATAAATCAATAATAAAATAACTGTTTTAATGTTTTTGGTTTAGTGAATAGAACACTTTTTTCAGAGCTTGAGCAAATCTACAGACATGCTTTGAAAAGAGAAGAAAACCTCCTAGAAGAACAAAGGTAGGTAAGGTTCTAAACTTACTTTTGTTGATATAAAATGTATTTTCTGTTTGTTAATTGAGTTGGCATCCGTTGTCAATTCAATACTTTAAACCAACTATCACATAAGACCAATAAATGGAGTATACCTATCCAAAAAAACATTCTAACAACTGAATCATCCTGTAATCCAGCTACTAGAAGGTCACGAATTGTGGATATTTATAGGGATGCACTGTGGATGCGATGCTCCCTGGTGTGGATTAACGTCCGCACTAGTGAGTACTACGACTATCTGCAGTACTATCCCGATAACTAGACCAATTTGTAAATTACAAGGAAAAAATGTGGTTCGGATTCCACTGTAGGTCCCTTAGTTGCCATTAGCTGTATGGGCTATTAATTAACAGCTGTGTCTAAGGAACATGTCGGCCTTAGTCACTAACAAGACTACAAGATCGCGCCACTCATCCTTCACTCATATTTGGGTTAAAATACGCACATAGTGGCGTCCCCATCTTAAATAATTGATAATTGATAATTGAAGCATGGCGGCCATCTTGCAATAGGATAGACACGCTAAATGTTGTTGATAATGGTGCAAGAACTTAATGGTGCAAGAACTTAATGCTCCGCTTCTAAATAACTTCACATCTAGCCTTCATAGAGTAAAGATGAATGGATGAAACTTAATGAACATAATGAAAGTATTATAGTCAACTCAAATAGAACTGGCGGTTCAATAATACCAGCTGGGGGGCTATAGCTGGACTATTGATCCGTCAGTTCTATTTGCTTTGATTATAGCGAAGTCTAGGACACTTTTAGCTCTGGTTAAAAGGTTAAAAACTAAAAAGTAATGTTTTCTATTTTAAATATCCAAATTCAGTAAAAGTAACTGAAATTAGCTCATATAAAAGTCAGTACTTTTATATGAGTTCTGAAATGTGACATGAAAAAGTTTCTCGGCTAGCATACTACTTTTTTAATTTTTTGATCATGTTAATTAAAAACTAGAAGATTTTGTAGCTAAAGAGAAAAATATTTAAATTCCTGTTTTTTTTTATTTTTTAGCTCATGTAGTTTGGGGTGTACGATAGGGGTTGGAATAGACCCTATTTACTATAAATGTTATTTAGGTTGTTTATAAAAATGAATATGACAGTTAAAATGCAGAAGAGCATTGTTTTTAGAGTGTCAAAAACCATCGTATGACTTTGAAAAATTGCATAATGTAAACCAAACGTCAGAACGTCATCAATCTTTAATACAATGTAGATAAATACATTATGAATTAATTAGTGTGTTTTCCAAATTTTATCCTCAACCAAAAAGTTTTTGTTATTAATAATCTAAATTAAATTTTTTTCAAAAACGGCAAATGCTAGACAATTTTTAAAAGCCTGTGCTATCAGTAAGTGTCTTAGTTATTGGAATATTCATATTGTTGCCTTATGCCTTATGTCTTAGTAGGACTCATCACGGCTGGCAGCGGCCATGGTACTGTAGATGAGTAAAATATCCTTACTTCACATGCTCCATTGTTCATATGTGATCGATGCTTTAAGCAGGATGGGAGTTGGTTCAATGCCGCCTCTAAGTTGACTAAATATCTGCCGGCCTCCAGCTTGTGATGTCCTATAGCAAAATGGGACTGTTGACCTAAACGATACAACTAAAATAGAAATAGGTACAATTTATATCATACTGCAGGCAGGCAAGAGATCAAAATCATACAAACATTAAGGGCAATAATTTATCTGTTTATGTTGAAATTGGATAAACACTACTTAAGATGCACAATATGACCTATTGTGAAATATATAGGTTGGTTCCACTGTGAACTGTTCCAGACAGAGTCTGCTGGCAGCTCGTAGAGAACTGAGAGGCAAAGAGGCTGTGGTCAGATCACAATCAATGGACAAAACTCTGCAAGAGAAGGCAGATAAGTACGCTCAGTTGGAGAAACTCATGGATCAACTTGAAAACAAGGTAGTGTCTGAGTAAAACTGTACAAAGGCTGGTGTGCTCAAACGTTTTTTTTTAGAGAGACAGAATTTGGCCAGCTTACCACTCAATAACAATATATATCTCATGCTTTTTTATTCAAGTCGTGATTCTCACATGAATGTCCATTAATAGTCAGTTTGTAATGTCACAGAAAGGAACGTCAGACTTCCAGTCGTGTGGTAGTTGGAGTTCTTCACATCAGTCGTCAAATCCATCTGCTCTACGGTTACAACATGCATCAGCTGTTTATCATCTTTCTAAGGTATATTGTCACACATGCATATAATTCAATCTTAAAGGGTTTTATAAAAAAAAAATAAAATAATGTAATTTGCAATAGTTTTTGTCAAATTTAGTGAATATTCATATTCTTGCATTAATTAATCTCACCTGTATCTACTGAAAAGTTGTCGATGTTACATCGAAATCATGTCAATAACATTGACAAAAAATCAAATTGTATTACTAAACTCGTAAATCATAATAGACTGTAATGTTATGTAGTTAAGTATTTTATTTTTTTCAGCTGAAAAAGTTGCATCAACAAACAAAAATGAGACATCCAGAGTTAAAAATGTGTAGCGGCAAGTTTGAAGATTTACTTCGGAGGATAGAGATTGCACTGGACGAAGAAAAAATATCCAAACATTTGAGGCCTTGTCACACTGATCAAGTATGTCAATGGTACTACAACTTAAACATTTTAGGGTACAAGGTGGGCCTTGGGGGGGTTAGCGATTTTGTAAATTTTAGAGCAAAATTGTGGGTTTAAAGGCGATTTGAGCATTTCAAATATCTTATTTCAATTTGTTACGGACCAAAGGGAAATGTAAGAACAGTTATTTATTGTAAAAAAAAAACTTTTATGAGAATTTTGGGGGGTGCTGGAGATCTTCAACACCTCTGGCCACGCCCTTGACAATCATCAAAGTTTCAGGTCAAAATTTATTTTGCATTTAGAATAAAAAATTTAATTTATAAATAGGTATCTTAATCTTATTTATAAATAAAATTTTCCTACAGGGGATACGTGCTGTTATATAGCTGGGTGGCTGATTGGCAAATAGTGCTCACTTGAGAATGGAAAAGTTGTGGGTTTGATTCTTGAGAAAATCCTTAGATTTAAATGGTTTTAAACGACCACAGAAAAAATACCTAACCCAGAACTAACAGTGCCATAAAAAAAAACGGCAATTATTTGGTATGTCTACAACGCGATATTATGTACTTTTTTGATGTCTACTTACAGTATTTTTCACGCTGAATCCAAAAATGCAATCAGTTTTTGTCGGAGAGATTCCTAAATGATCGTAAAACGAGGGTCAACATTACGAATCTAAGGTTCATTGAGCTATACTGATGGCAATATGGCGTGGTCTGGACGGGTCCGTATGTGGACTGAGGACTGAGTGAGGAGGAGAGCAAACAGCTGTTTGTACTCGATACTTAATGCGGAATGAAATCAATTCGTTTTGAAACCAGAGATAATCAGAATCAGTTCTTATTTAGGCATGTGAGGAAGGTAGGTCGGGTTTTATGCGGATTCGTGACTGTATTAAGTGTTTTGAAGTGAGGTTAGATTAGGAAGGTAAAGGTTAGGTTATTATGAACCGACTCATTAATTTATGCTACTTCCAGACTGTTTTTGCACAATTTAATAGTGGGTGAAACACAATGAAATAACGATTATCTATTAAATTGTGCAAAAACAGTCTGGAAGTAGCATAAATTAATGAGTCGGTTCATAATAACCTAACCTTTAACTTACCTAACCTAACCTTTAACTTACCTAATCTAACCTCACTTCAAAACACTTAATACAGTCACGAATCCGCATAAAGTCCGACCTATCTTCCTCACATGCCTTTTCTGACATGAAATACAATATAATAATTAATATTAAAGTTGGGTTGGGTTGGGTTAGGTTAGGTTAGATTAGATTAGGTTAGCAAAAATTAATATTAAAGTTGGGTTGGGTTAGGTTAGGTTAGATTAGATTAGGTTAGCTTAGGTTACGTTAGTTTAAAATATAATACATAGCTTATGCATTAAAGAAAATATTTTAACTTAACCAACCTACCTTGTTTAGTACTTTGGCCTATACAGCTTTGCTGCGGCCTTATAAAACGCGTGGAGTCGCTTGTTGTTCGGATTAGACATTAGACATTAGACATTATTTATTTGCACATAACATTCTTTTAGATGTGATAACATATAGAACAGGTGCATTGTCAAAATTGAGCCTAGACTAGAAAAATACAAAGTACAAAGTAACAGGAAAAATACCTAGCCAAATAATGTTAATACAGTACAGTAGTTAAGAAAATTAAAAACAAAAAATTAACTCAAGGGATGGTTATAAAATTCTTCTATTTTATAAAACGCACGTTCAAGGAGTCCATTTTTCAATGTTTCTTGAAACTTGTTTGAACTCATTATTTTATAATATACCGGTAGTTTATTATACATTTTTAAACCTGCATACAAAGGACTTTTTTCAAATAAGGTCAAACGGTGATTTGGTAATCTGAAAATTGTTTCGTTTCTTGTACTATAGTTGTGTGTGAATTTGAATGAATCCGGGAGGTTATTTTTTATATTGTGTATGTAGTTTAATAATTCAAATATGTATAGTCCTGTGAGTGTTTGGATTTTTAAATTTTGAAAATGTAATTTACAAGGACTTCTGGGGTGGGAATTAGTCATAATTCGGATGATTCTTTTCTGAAGTCTAAAAATAGTTTTTGCATCAGTTGCCTGTCCCCACAAAATCACACCATACCTCAAGCTACCAGATTCCGTTTTTTAAATTGGAACTCTGCCAGGTACCCGATGAAATGTTCCGACCTCACCCCGTATTTGGGGATGTGGTCTCTAACGTCTCTCCAACACCGCTCAATTCGGTTTGTATGAGCGCCCGTGACGGGATCAATAAAGTCAGTACTATGGTTCACAGTTAAATGTTGGAAGCCGTACTCCCGCAATCTGCTGTACGACTTCCAACAGTCAGTGATGATGGTGCTGCCAGGCAAAACCCAGCGGCGGATTAGTCGAATGAGTGTGCGTCTTGAGCGGTCAGGAACGGGAATTAAAAATGTTTTGGTCTAGCCTCTCTGCACTCCCCCAACACCCAGTTTCCCTTCACTCGCCTACCTCGATTGTACTTGCGTTTCCCGAATTTCGCTTCGTCAATCTCAACAATCTCACCTGGCCCGCCTAGTCTATCCGAATTTGTTACGCAATCGTCAATGTACACTTCTCGTATAAACGAATACCAATCTACAACAGTACTACTTGAGAGATTGAGATTTGTTTCAAGAAATGTTTGCCGGGGTGGGTCAAAAAAAGGTAATGATTAACTAATCGCCAAAGCGTAAGGATTTGTAATTTTGAATTGCCGAAAAAAGAGCCTACTCTGGAAGATCGCACCCAATGACACCTTTTCGCTTTTTTCTTGTTTATTGATACTTTATTCCAGCATCTAAATAGCCACTGATCGTTCACTTTAATGTTTGAATTACACGTTGGACAATTTGTCTCGTTTTTCAAAACCCCGTGCTTAATTAAAAAACTTTTAATTTCACTATTATCAAATACAACAGTTTCATAAAAATTCAGGTCACACGCATTGCAAATATCAGCCATTACTAATACCTAAATCGACAACAATAATTAAACTTACTTGATAATTAATTAGTTGTTAATACAGATGTTTAATCTAGATCTATTTCCTGGGCGCATTTTAGCGTAGTAATCCTTTAGTTGGTTGATTACAGTAATTCAGTGACAGTGGCAGTTGACAGTTGACATAGCCTAGTATCAATGCCGGTAGTGGTCGTGTTATTATCTGGGGACAAATCCTTGCATTTTACGAGGATAAGTTAAATTTATTGATGATTAGTGTTGATTTTATTAATATTTTATGTAAGTTATTGTTTTTGTGTTACTGTATTTCCGGAACGTCTTAGAAGTCCGTCTGCTTTTACTAATTGAATCGTTGTTAAATGTTATTAAGATTTTTGTTTTTGTATTGAATGGTAAATAACTAACAGCTGTTTCCACTCCACAATCCTTCCTCCCCTTTAAGTGTTAGTCGCCACTAGCACTTGGACTCATCCATACCATAAATAAGTTAATAAATCAACAAAACTGAAGCTTAATAGTAATTATTTAACTGTACGGTCATTTAGGAATCTCTCCGACAAAAACTGATTGCATTTTTGGATTCAGCGTGAAAAATACTGTAAGTAGACATAAAAAAAGTACATAATATCGCGTTGTAGACATACCAAATAATTACCAAAAAAACTTAGCGTTTGAATCTGCTAATTTCTATACCACAATCTAGGAGCGTTGGTTGGCTGGTTAGGCCAGGAGTGAGGCGGTAGGAGAGAAAATTGATGTCTCTAGACCGTTGCTATAAGCTGATCATATATATTCAAGTTAAATGTATACCTTAAAAAATCACAGTTACAGCAGCTTCTGGATTTTGGTGTAGACACCAGCAGATATACACCCAGCGTTTTTATGGCTCAGTGAGAGTTATGGGTTAGATCAAGGCCACACTAAAAAAACAGGCCGTAATGCTCGTCAAGCATGACGTCACGATAGAAGACGGCAATGACGTAATGTTTGCCGTTTGTGATCAGCTGCTTGTTTTAGTCTTTCCTTGGAAAATAAATAAATAAATACCTACGTCATTGCCGTCTTCTATCGTGACGTCATGCTTGACAAGCATTACGGCCTGTTTTTTTTAATTGTGGCCTTGGTTAGGTCTTTATTCAGTGAACTGGACTCAGCTGATTTCACTGGGCTTCAATGAATAATCCTGACCAAAGAAAAAACTAATCGTAGTCACTAACAAAGCTACACAGCACATTTTTTCCATTCCACACTCAACTTGCATTTATAGTCCAAACTGTTGTAATTTGCTTGTTTATGAAGAAAATTTGCTTGTTTGATCAAATTTCAAAAATGGATTTATTTCTTACAAAAGTATTAACATAAAAAAAAACTGTTTACCCTCACTGTTGCAGCAAACTAAAGTACTCGTTAAACTAATTCTATTTATATAGGGAACTAGCTGTAACCCGCGGGCTTTGCCCCGTTTAACTTCTTAATTTTCAAGATTATCTCGTTCGCATGGCTCAATCACGTCCTGGTTGAAGTTTGTTCGCTACGCTCACTCCCCTTTAGGTTGGAGCTCGTTCGCTACGCTCACTCACCTTTAGGTTGGAGCTCGTTCGCTGCGCTCACTTGCCTTCAGGTTAGCTCGTTCGCTACGCTAACTCGCCTCCAGGTTGAAGTTCGTTCGCTACGCTCACTCACCTTTTGGTTGCAAATTAGCTGTTGTCATAAATTATGTAAATGTAAAAGAAATAATAGTGCTGCACCCTGTTGGTAATCCTTGTAACTTTAATGCTATTGAACATCATAGAACAGAACCAACTTGTTTAATTGAAACAGCTGTTAAGATTCAATAATTCCATTTCTCATAAGGTTAACATGGGAAACTCCAGAGCCACTGGGGCGGAGCCCGAAAGGATTTTTGAAATAAGAATATGCCTATATGTTAATCGGGAATGTGAGCTATCATCATGCCAAATTTCAGCCCAATCCGACCAGTATTTTTTGCGTTCACTTGTCACAAACATACATCCATACATCCATACATCCAAACTTTCTCATTTATAATATTAGTAGGATAAATGTGATATTAATTTTTAAGGATACATTTTAGTGTCAATCCAGTTAGGCAAATGGAAATTCGCTTAGTCTGCAGGTTTGCTGCGGCGGGGCTATTTTATTTTACACTTTGATTATCCAATTACCAATTTTTTTAGGCAATTTTACTGTGTACAAAATGGCGAAAGAGTTATTAATTTATTACCTAAGGTATTCTTTATATAACAATTAGAGTAAAAGTCTGCATATTCGGTAAAATTGATTGCCGACAGAGGGTGTGCTGCAGGCAGCGCATTAATTCCTTTCCCAATGGGTTAACCAAACAATAGGCATATCTAAAAAAGTTCTTTTTATAGCAATGGCAAACAAGTATATTACGACAAACAGAAATTGTGTTTCTTTGTCCATCCTTGCGATATTGCAATTTAGAGATTTTTATGAAGACTGCAGACAGGGTAGGATTTTAGAGTAGAATCAGGCATCAATAATAGGTATGAAATCAATGATTATAAAATACTGTATTAGATTTGTACCGCGTGTAAGCGTAGATTTTCTGGGTAAAGACTACTTATTACAAAAAATTATTTAACACGTTCAGTGCTAGGGGCGGGAATTCACGCCCCGCGGTACGGGCACCACTGACGCGGGGCGGGAAATGTCGTCCTTCTCCAATGCCAACAACCTTGCTTCAATGTGAGCTCAGCCATTGCCAGGGAACGTTATAATCGTTGCCAGCCTGTAGCTTAGAATATAAGCTTCAGTCTGGTGTAGGTTGGTACTAAAATTTCTCGTAAAATCCTGTCTGGCAATGCTTTTGTCCTGGTTCCGGCAATTTTCTCTTTTCGAGCCACTTTACAAAGACACTGGCTACGGAGTGCTGCTACCTTTGGGTGTTTCAGTGAACTACGTCCACTCTCGGGCTAACGCAGCACAATCACCGCTGCTCTTTTTTTATTCGTCAGACTGAAATATTTGAATGCCAATTGCGTTCACCGATTCAGTTGCGCGGCGGGGCTTCGCCCGGGCCTCGCCGCCATTGGCGAGCGCCTGTTTGAAGGTACCTATGCCGCACTGAACGTGTTAATAGAATTAAATATATGCTATGTGGAGGTTTATGAATATAAATAAAAATTGCATTGAAAGTATATAGTCAAATTGCACAGTGACTATAAGTGTAGCCTAGATATTATTATTTTTATTTTTTATTTACCTATAAGCTTAATTTTTAGTTGTTTTTTGTACATGCGATAAAGTACTTGTCATCGTTTTGGAAAGTTTTATCTTGATGCATATTTTGAAGCAATCATTCAGTTATGCTGTAAACTCGACTGATAAATTTACTTTTCACACACCCATAAAACCCTAATTTAGGCCCTATGTTTTTTTTATAAAGAAACAATATTATGTTTAAGTACCTAGAAAATCTTAAAAAAGTTGATAACCTGTTACATTTCTAGATATTATCTAACCTCTTATAATCTACAGTTTATCAATTTGGAGGAAGAAACGCAGGCATTGGAAGATGAAGCGCAGCGTCTGTTGAGGAAACTCTCTACAAAAAATCACAAGACACATTGTTCTAATCCATCAACCTGTGGTAAATAAATCTTCTATCTATATATTTGATACAATAAGGTATTTCCGGTACTTTCCTGTTAAAGGGAACATTCATTATTATCGATCAGATTTCTTTCGATATATCGATATTCTATTTTTGATCCGATAATGAACGAGATGTCAGCTGACAACTACGATAAGTAAATATTGTTCAGTATCAACAAACAATTTAAAAATATTATATTGAAATGAAAATTTTCCAAGCTAACCTTACCTAACCAACCAAACTTGCTGTGAAATTTCCAAATTCCATTCCATATTACTCACATGCCTTTTCTGTTATCAAACGAAATTTTGAAATGATACAGCAACCCCAGCAAGTTTGGTTGGTTATGTTAGGTTAGTTTAGAACAGTTATACTTATTTATGTTTTGCCTAAACAAGATCAGTTGTCAATTTGTAATATAAATGTGTTTGAAGATATTAAAACAGAAGGTATGGATCGTAAAGGAAAAACAAAAATATCGATATATTGAAAGAAATCAGATCGATAATAATGAATGTTCCCTTTAACAGGAAAGTACCGTATTTCCCTGTCACATCCCTTTTCCAGCCATTCTACTTATACTTAACCAATTGTTACGATTGAGGTGTCATAATAAAGCTTATGATCTAGCGTGCCTGCGAATGGTAATTAAAAAGGAGATTTCCTTTATGAATCTCATGTTTAATTTATTTCTAAAGTCCATTTTCAAAGATCCAGTTAAATGCTGACCAAGTGTTTTTGTAACAGTTTTGAATATTAATTGTAATTTAACAGCTGTTCCTCCAGATGAATGTTTAACCAGTCAGATTGTAAATAAGACACTGAACAGTTATGTGCATTTTAAATAGGCTACTTTTTTTTACAACTGTAACCTGATTAAGGTAGTATGTAAAACCTAAGGGTATGTTTTATCTAAGGTAAAATCTATATCTATCTATACTATTATAAAGAAGAGGTGGTGTCTGTGTGTGTGTTTGTATGAGCTAATCTCAAAAACTACTGGTCGGATCGGGCTGAAATTTGGCATGATGATAGCTCACATTCCCGATTAACATATAGGCATATTTTTATCCCAAAAAATCCTTCGGGGCTCCGCCCCAGTGGCTCTGGAGTTTCCCATGTTAACCTTATGAGAAATGGAATTAATGAATCTTAACAGCTGTTTCAATTAAACAAGTTGGTTATGTTCTATGATGTTCAATAGCATTAAAAGTTACAAGGATTACCAACAGGGTGCAGCACTAGCACTATTATTTCTTTTACATTTATGACAACAGCAAAAGGTGAGTGAGCGTAGCGAACGAACTTCAACCTGGAGGCGAGTGAGCGTAGCGAACGAGCTAACCTGAAGGCAAGTGAGCGTAGCGAACGAGCTAACCTGAAGGCAAGTGAGCGCAGCGAACGAGCTCCAACCTAAAGGTGAGTGAGCGTAGCGAACGAACTTCAAAAAGAACCGAAATTTCTTAAACCATGTCCTCACTCATAACTGCTATAAGCATTTGATACTTATATGCCAACCCCGTACGAAGGACGGGTACTCTGCTAGTACTCTATATAATGTAGTGTTGTTGATCTAAAATCAACAAATTTATTGTAAACTAGCTGGCCCGACAGACGTCGTCCTGTCCTAATGTGGTTTTATGTCAATGCTCGTTCATTTTTAAGATGAGCTCCTTCGCATGGCTCAATCACGTCCTGGTTGAAGTTCGTTCGCTACACTCACTCCACCTTTGGGTGAGAGCTCGTTCGCTGCGCTCACTTGCCTTCAAGTTAGCTCGTTCGCTACGCTAACTCGCCTCCAGGTTGAAGTTCGTTCGCTACGCTCACTCACCTTTTGGTTGCAAATTAGCTGTTGTCATGAATAAAAAAAAAATAATAGTGCTGCACCCTGTTGGCAAACCTATTAACTTTTTAATGCTATTGAACATCACAGAATCAAACTGTTAATTCATTGCACTGGATGAATTTGTCCTTGGAAACAAGTTTTGGGCCCTAAACTGTGCAATTTGAGCACCGGTCCCCTCGTTTTGATTTATTTATTTTTTGGTGTACGTTTGATGACACGTAATTTACTGAGTTGTTTATTTACATCAGTACCGTACAGACCTCAGGGAACCTAGGGATTTTAACAATTTTCATTTGTACAGATAATTGATTGTCTAACAGATAAACACAATTAAAACCGTTCAAATTAACATACAGTTTAAACTTCCTATCCCTCACTACTATAGTACTTTGGTTTAAACACTTGTTTTACATGTTGTACGCTAAGTCTCGTCACTATTATATCTTTAACAACATCAAACAAAACTTCTATCATCATATTTTGGTATTTTCCAGGTTCTAAAATTGGACATAGCTCGTGCTACTGTTGTGGAGACACCAAAAGGAAATAGTTTGCAATATGGTTTCTGATAAGATAAATTTATGTAGTATCTAATAAAAAATCAATTATTTTCATAATAGGGTTGTGTTATAATTTGGCGTAACTGGAATAACCTTCATACCCAGGAATCAGGTTTATTGTTTCATTTCTCTTTTACTAGACTCATACTCCAGTTTCTTGGTTGGTGTATTGAACCAATAAATGGTTAATGAAGAATCATATGTGAATGTAACTGTGGTGAGCTGCAGCAGTAAACCTCGATTAACTGAAATAAGAATAATTTCAGATTACCCATTACATATTTTGGTTAATGAATGGATGGAATTTAGGCTATTTCAATTTAAAAATGTCTACAACAACTGTTCTTATGTTACTTTACTGTCATCTTGACCCGGGAGAGGACGCATAGCTGTCTAAATGACCGGGTTTGTACTTTTTGGTGCACAACACACCACATTCCAGGAATAACGTGATTTTTTGTTTGCTATCCTTCACTTCATCATTTTAGTCTACCGACAGCTTTTTGTCATGTACCGTACTGGTCGAAACCACCGTGTGCGTCTCCTCGTGGTTTAAATTAATGCTTATTTTTCTTTTAATTTTTGATTGGCTACAGTTTCAATTCCTACCTACCTATGTGCTATTTGCTGTGTACCTATGTGCTGAGCCACAAAGAAGTATTTATGTACCTCTCAGTGGCTAGACAGGGAATCTTGGAATCTAGCAAGTAAAGTAGTTTGAAGAATTGATAGTCCATCGTCGTGTTGAGAGAGACGAGGATGTTGAATGTTTAGTGAAGCTTGTAGGATATTTTCTAGGCACATTTTCAATGAACCATTGATGAGAGACACAAAAGTAAATTTATAATAAAGACGAATCTTAAAACTTAAAAGGAATTTTATCTTTACAAGACAATGATGACTTATAATAATTTATATATCTCAATTTTTTTAGTGAACTATTTTTTATAGATACAATATAGTTTGCCTCATAATGTATCACTAATCTACTCTTTAATAACCATTTAGACTCATTTTTCTTTTGTAAAAATAAATTTGAGTTTAAACAATTCATTTGTGGTCAAAACATCACAGTGAGACACTCTGTTTATCTTTTTTTTTTTGATATCTTCATTTATAGATACATGAAAAAACTTATGAGGCATTGTTAAGTTATATATGAAACGGTTTACTAAAAAGAAACAATTCAAGGTGTAGGCCTACAATTTTATTACAACTGTCCAATTTATGCTGTATCATCTAAAGCATTTTCAGAAGGTTGTAAATTAAATGTTTAACACCATTTACGGTTTTGAGCAATAAAAATTCAATACTTACTAAAATATGGCTAGTTGTACCAGGTCGAAAAGACCGTGTGCGTCTCCTCACGTTTTCAATTCAGTTCGACCTCTGCCGGGTTAACATCCACAGCAGTTACACAAAATATATTTCATAAACAGATACATGAAAAAACTTATGAGGCATTGTTAAGTTATATATGAAACGGTTTACTAAAAAGAAACAATTCAAGGTGTAGGCCTACAATTTTATTACAACTGTCCAATTTATGCTGTATCATCTAAAGCATTTTCAGAAGGTTGTAAATTAAATGTTTAACACCATTTACGGTTTTGAGCAATAAAAATTCAATACTTACTAAAATATGGCTAGTTGTACCAGGTCGAAAAGACCGTGTGCGTCTCCTCACGTTTTCAATTCAGTTCGACCTCTGCCGGGTTAACATCCACAGCAGTTACACAAAATATATTTCATAAACAGTAGGCCTAATTTAGTAATTGACATATTATTTACATCAGTTGATTGATTTTATCCCCAAGCAAGATTTAAGTTATATCTTATGTAAAAAATTATATGCACAGTACCTAATATTAAACAAGGTATATTAAACAAGGTCAGCCACGGCCACCTTTAACTACATGCCGCGGCCTGGTAGAATTGGCAACGTCGCAAGTGGGGTTGTTAAGTGACAGACATACCATAAGATAACATGGTAGACAGGTGACATCAGCTCATTAATTCGCACTTTATTGATTTAAACTTATGAACATAAATTTATTAAAATGTTGAAAATAAAACATACAGAATTGAAAACTGAAAAAATATGAATTAAATATCTATATCTGTACATTTTAAGCGGAGTCAATATTGTCATAGTCTAGTAACCAATCTTTCGTAAATACACAAATACCATTAGCTGCTTCCAAACAAAACAGCTGTTACAACCCCACTTGCGACGTTGCCACTTCGAAGGCCGCGGCCTGGAGTTAAAGGCGGCCGTGATTTCAGCATTATTCCTCACATGACCTAATTTCTCAGGCTAAAACCAATTGTTTGAGTCATTTATGGAATTATTACAAATTTGTTATAATAATTCAGTACCAAATTTTTGCTTAAGTTAGTTTATTAGGCCTACATGACTCACAAATAAGTATAAGTTACTTGTTACTTGAACTACTTATGTGATCTATTTTATGTTTCATATTCAATGATAAAATAATAAACATTGTAGGGCCTACTTTGTTTATGTAGGGCATTCTCTTTGCATGGAAAATTGATTAGCCTACCAGACAAGACAAACTAATGAAACTAATAAAGTACATTTATTAGCTTTATTTAAAAAAAAAACAAATTAGGCCTAAGTTAATCCAAACAATTATTAAATGAAGGCTACAATATTTTTTTAAAAACAAAGGCAATCTAATAACTATTTAAATAATAAAGCAACAGAAATGTTGATGATAATTTTATTGAATTACAAATAAATTTATCACAAACTTTATTATTGAAATAAACAGATTCAAGCTATTATTCATGGGTCGGATACAAGATTTCTTTTGATTGCTCACTACAGTAGGTACACGCTTTATGTTTTAAAAGAATCAACAATTTCATACAAAGGTATTAAACAAGACAACAAAATAGTTGTACCAGTTCCAAAGTGATAAATTTAAAATTAAAAAAAATGATTGAAACCTGACTTTTTTGTCTTTATATAAATTTTTACGAAATAAAACCTTTTAAAAAAACACTGTGTTTTAATAGCAATAGAACGTTTGTTTGAACGGCTAACACTTTAATGGGCTTTTGCCTGGCGAAGAGATTGGCCAGACCCTGAAAATGGCTTGAAATCGTTTAAGGGCTCTTTATTTTCTTTTTCAGGCAACGGTCTGTTGTTTCTTATGAAGGTTAGCGTTCCAACAGTATAGTTGTAGTCTGGAATACCTCGTTGATATGGGACTTTAGATACATTCTGTGATTTACTGCTGGAAGATTCTTGACTTATCTTCTTTTTCTTTTTTTGGTCAAGAATATTACCTTCGCCAGTGAAAGGTGTAAAGCCCTTAGGTTCTGGCATGAGACTATCGTGATCCATTTCGTAGTCTGGTACCTTTTCAGGTTTTTTCGGTTCTTCATAGCCAACTGGAGCTGAAAACTCTACGTTCATGTCACATTCAATGATGCATACAGCATTTCCTGGTTTAGTTTCCAACACACACACTTCATATGTCTTTTTATTATAAATTATCGCCACTACATCACCTGTAGTGAGACATGCATAGTTCCTTAGAGAATTTTCAAGGACTGCTTTTGGGTTAGTTATGTCAAGAAAATCAGGTGACTGAGGCTGAAACTTGGCAAAAGTAGCAACAGGTAGCAGAACATTCTCAATTTGAATTATATCACCTTCTTCCAGCAAAAGATTGTGCATCATCCATCGAGGCAAATACACATTACCCTCATCAGCAACAAATTCCAAAACACCACAGTGAGACACTCTGTTTATCTTTTTATTTGTCAGTTTGAACAACATAGGATATGTTATATTCAACTGTGTCAAGTGATCAAGAGCTGAGGGAGGCATTATGATTTTGCCACCCTTCTCAACATCTTCTCTTTCATTTCCTGGCAACATAGCCACAGAAAAACATTGGTATTGTTTGTTAAATGTTCTTGGAATGTCCCCAAAAATGTTGAAAGAAAACATTGTGCGAGATTACCAGAAACCCAAATTAAAAATGATTACCTCTAAGTCCGTAGGTTAGAGCTGAAAAGTAGGCCTAGGCCTGACGATTTTTCCAGGCTTTGATTCCAATAAGACTGCAGTATTAAAAACGTTTCAAGAAGGGTAGGTATCTCAGAAAACTGGCGATCCACTTGTTCTATGGAAACAAACTTGATGACAACTCTCAAATCAAAAATAAAATTACTAAATTCAATGATTACTAAAAGCTTACTTTTTAGGGATGTATAAATGTTAGTAGTTTATCTTGCCAATTTGACAACATATTTACATAGCGAAGCGATGTAGGTAGGTTAGGTAGATGACGAATAACGTAACGATGACAATCAGACAATGACAAACAAGGAAACAAGAAACAAGTCAATAGATGGAATGGGAATGGATGACGACAGTGACACTGGAGAGGGAGTGATTGGGTGGATTGGATTGAGATTGCATTTTTGCATTCAGTTGAGTTGTTGTTGGGAATGAATAATGAACAAATCAACTTTTTGTTCTTCTTAGGCAACAGCTGACACCATTGATCAGGTGATCATGTGGGCTGAGTGAAAGGTTAGTGATCACACCAAGATACTTGAATTTCTCGACCACGCTGAGACTTCTGCCGTCGATACAAAAGTCATACTCATGAACTACGTTACTGCGACTGAGAAACATAACTACACATTTGGAGACATTGAGCTCCATTGCATTCCATATGCACCATATTTGCTGATGTTGTTAATCGATGGATCATTTCTTGGTCATGTGTGGAGATTACTTTGGTGAACACCTTAATGTCGTCAGCACATAAGAGAAATCTCATTTTAAATTCTGCGCAGATCTCGTTTATAAATAAGTTGAACAGTGTAGTGGTCCGAGATGGAAACCCTGGGGCACGCCAGAAGTGGCAGAGAGAAGGGTCGGGACTGCTCTCCTCCACATCTAACAACGAGTATGCGGTCAGTGACTCAGTAGGTAACTTTTCAGCCAGGAAAGTAATGGGCCGCAGATGTCATAGCCCTAAAGTTTAGCAACCAACAGAAGATGGTCTATTCTGTCGAAGGCTTTGCTATAAAATCCAGATAGACACAATCTACTTGGTAGTGCTCGGTAAATATGCTGATATGATTAGATTTTGGAATACGAGGAGGTATGTGCAAGATGAGTAACCCTGGATGAAGCCATGTTGTTCTGGAGCAATAAATCTGCCAAGTTAAAAAGCTCAAACATTCAAGGATAAGGCTTTCATAAATTTTGGTTAGAGCAGACTGAATGGCAATTGGAATTGGTCTGCAGTTTTTGATATTGTTTTTGCAACCCGATTTAAAAATAGGAACAACAAAATTATTCTTCAGCACGGTCGGAAAATTCCCTCTGAGAGAAGTTTTGCAAAGTAAATTTGGAGGTTGGGTGTGAGAAGATGGGTGCAGTACTTCAGTACAGCAGGCGGGATGTCGTATGGGGCCTGGGCCGGCTCCTATGTTCGGGTCCAATGCTACCAACTTTCTCTGCACATCCAAAAGCTTGAAACTTGCAGTTGCTTAATTGATGGATTCATACCAAAGTCATAAGTGAGCAGTGGAACGTAAGTCACTCTGAAGACCGAAGAGAAATATCTAAAGAAAAAGTTGCATTTGCCTTCGGGGTCAGTTGCTTCTACTGAGTCAAGAAACATAGAAGATGGGAGCGAAGATGAGCTTTTTTGACATTAATTTGACATATGACCAGAAGGATTTCAAGTTTGAGGGGATACTTTCTGATCTTGCTGAGATAAACGGAGTGACATTGAATTATTTCTAGCTTGGTGTGTTCTGTTATGTATTGTTATAAGGTGTGTGAACTTCAAAATACTCATTTAACCATACTCCTCTTTTAATATAGCAACACGAAAGTGAAGCAATAATTATTGCAGTATGAAAAAATCATAAGACATTTGGAATTATTAACTGTTATAATGGAATAGCCTATTGGAGTAGGTTTAATCAATGGATTTAAAGGTGTGTTGTTAATTGTTGGTAAACCTGTAGACGTCATGTTACTTGTGCTTGCTTGTACTTCTTCTTCTTTTCTTTCTTATAGATATATAGGTCCAGTTCTTGTTCTTACTAAATAATTGGTTTGGTTGGTTTGTTGGTTTTATAGTTAGTTGTGTTCGTGCAGTTCATTCTTATCAACAAAGTGAATAATTTTATGTTATGTCAGCCATCAAATAATGTTAAATTTGGTTTATCCATTGAACGATTAGTTTATTTTATGTATTTAGTGATGTAGGGACTGGTGAACAGCCGAATCCTATCGTGTCAGCCATGTAGATAGACAAGTGCTGTAATTTGGGTCAACCCATCCTGGATTTAAATGTGATATTGAATTTTTTATATTTCCGTGTGATTTGTTTTGAAACAATTGATTTTTATGATTTGTGTATTGTGACTATGGTAAACTAAATGTTATTTATAGATAGTTTACTTATATTTAAGTTATTTCGTTAATAGGAAATGGCCGATGGTCATGTTAGTAATGGGAGTGACGAAGAAGATGATTCAGAAAATAATTGTTATCAGTATGAGCTAAAAGGTTTTCTCAGCAAGTGGACAAACTATATTCATGGATGGCAAAGAAGATACATTGTCTTGAAAGATGGAACATTGTCTTATTACAAATCTGAGCAAGAAACTGGTTTCGGGTGCCGAGGTGCTATTAGTTTATTTAAAGCAACAATTAAGGTTAGTATGTAAATAAATAGGCCTAGCCTATTACGTTTTCAAATTAATTTAGTTATGGTAAGCCTTACCTATGTTGCAGCCTTTTTTTTGTTGCACTTAGGCCCTACTAAGTTAGGCTATGTCTGTATGTAAAACCATGGTGGGTTGGCATCAAGGCGTATGAAAGAAGGTGTGTGCATAGTGACGTCAGTGCGAGCAAAACGTGTTTTATTTTACCAAATCATATGTTTTCTTGTAATTTTCCAAAGACTTTCGAATGATAATCATTACGAATTAGCATTGAATATGAATATATAACACTAGGGGTAGCGTTTTTTATAGCCTACAATATAGTGTTGTATTCAATATTGAATATAGTCATAGTGTTATACAGGATATTCAATGGTGGTAGTACCGTAGCCTATATAACATTTTGATAAAACAGTGTGAGACATATGGGTTGCCGAGCTGGGTTCAATTTCATGGACGTCCCAGTAGAGGCAATATCTGCAGCTTATGGTCTCCAAAGCTTGGAGTGTAGAAGAAGAGTTGCTGATGTTGCCTTCCTCTTCAAGCTGCTAAAAAACCAGATCAGCAGCCCTTTTCTGCTCGAGAGGATCATTCTGCACGTTCCAAGAAGTACCAGGCATCAACGCTTGTTTGAGCTAGACCATGCTTCGACCATCTACGCTTCTGCCCCATACCACGTCTGATGCGCTCCGCGAAAGAAATATGTTCGTCGGTTGACTTTTTCGCTTCCAGTTTGGTGGCTGTTAGGCGAGTGGCAGCAGAGGAACGAGTCGACCAATAATAATTTCACTTTGTTTTTGCTGATATCGATATATTGCATGTTATCTCAAATCATTAGTATTGTTGTTAATTTAATTATTTATTATTGTTGTTCATTTCTTTATTTATTATTGTTACGCATTTCATTGTCTATTATTGTTATCAATTTCGTTTTTATTATTGTTAATCTAGTCATAAGCACAAACATTCACTGTTGAAGCTGTCAAAATAGGCCTATATTAAAAACTATTTGTATATGGTCACTTAAAAATATATTGTCTGTTTGGCAGCCACAGTTACAGTATATTTACCGCTTTACTTTTTTTTTATTAACCCTCAAAGTGTCTCTAGTTTTGGTCTTAATGTTCGCACATTTATTGCGCAATCGCAGGGTTTTATTAAAATGTATCTTAGAAACTTAAAAACAATGTAAAGTATACTGTTTTATATATAATTTTGTTTGGAAAATTATGGGCTTCAATGTAACATACAAAACATTACAAAAAAATGTTCAACAATTTTTGTGGGGTTAACATTTCTCAAAAATTATAAAATAAATGAAAAAAATTTATGTTTGCGCTTAATAAATTGTTATAATTTATTGGTCTACAAATATTTTAAAATAGCCACTTTGTTCAGAATTTTATGAGGATTCCAAAAATATAATAATGTAAGGAAGTAGGTTTGCAAATAAATAAGTTATGGGCAAAAAACAGATTTCGGTACATAGCGTTTAGCTAAGAATGCATAGCCTAACCATAGCTAGGAGTCTGGCTGATAATTTACATCAATATCACTAGCCTACTTCTTCAGGATCGTCAACCAGCCCTTCAAAATCACTTAGGGCCTAAATCTTATAATGCACCACGTATATCACTACTTTTGATTTTTAACACTAAAACAATGATAAATGTAATAAAACACATCAGTCATCGGTGCGAGGTTAACCAAACTGTTTACAAATACGCACGTCAGCTGTCTGCTACAATATTTTCGGAACTAAAATGAAAAGCGTATAGAAACAGACATCAGGAGAAAGCTCTGAATCTGCTGAAAAAAACTATACCTAACTCGATCCAGTTCAATCCGATTCAGTCAGTTTCAGAGCCGTCGCCGTAAACAGTGTTTGTGAGTCGCAAAAGCGACACATATCACTACAGCGGATGTGTTATGAGTCGCTTTTACGACACATAACACTCGGAGGGTTAAAAGGTACTCAATATCAAAATGTTATATACTACCACCATTGAATTACTCTATAACACTATGACTATATTCAATATTGAATACAACACTATATATATCGGATATAAAACGCTAAATAGTGTTATATATTCAATTCTAATTCGTAATGATTGTCATTCAAAAGTCTTTGGAAAATTACAAGAAAACATATGATTTGGTAAAATAAAACACGTTTTGCTCGCACTGACGTCACTCTTCTTTCATACGCCTTGGGTAGGCATGGCATAAGCCTAATTTATTCAATATGCCTAAGTTAAAATCTCGAACTTGGAATCACGATTTTTTATTTTGATTAGGCTTATCTGGTATAAATTTACAACCCACACTTCACCCTAGAGGCACTCCCTGGCTATCGAGTAGTAAGTTAACTTAATCATTTTTTTATTTCAGCCACATGAATTTGACGAGTGTAGATTTGATGTCTCTGTCAATGACTGTGTATGGTATTTACGAGCTGAAAGTGCAGAAGATAGACAATATTGGATAGATATTCTTGAAGCTTTTAAGGTAAGCTATTTGCCCATTATCATATTATTCAGATTCCACCTAGGCCTACTAATCTAAATCGTAGTAACTTAGTGGTACAGTTCTGCAGAGAACCTGTGACATATTTTTAGA